TCTTCGAAAAACCATGGAAGATGTATTTCTCGATCACCTGTTGTTGTCAGAGTTCCAGTTTCAACTTTCAAAATGTACTCATTAGCATATTAATGGTGCTTTATACTCTTGTTTGTTGCGTTTGATTGGACGTCCGGTTCTGTGCTTATTTAAGGAGGTCACGTGGTCCAAATGAGCATCCAACAAAGATATTGGTCGGACTTTCAACAAAATGAATGAGGTAAAAATCCTTGGTGAAAACATCAATATAGCCGAGCGTGAAAATTTTGAATCAGGGAATGTTCTACTTAACTTCAACACATGCGAGGTCTCGGTTCTTTCTTTCTTTTTAAGTTTATTGAATAAAGATTCCTGTCCATATGCTCCGAAAATAGGAGTAACGGGTGATCAGATGGGTCATGATTGTAATGCGTAATGCAAATTTGTTAGGCTATTTAAGAAGCAATCTAAAGACTTGTGATTAGTTCACCAAACAACGTCCGAACCATGTTTCACTGATAATCGTGTCCTTTGCTCTTCGGTATCTCGTACCTTAGCCCGTTCCAGGCGTTCAGATAGTAGATAAGAGCGCGGCGGTAAGTGGGGAGCGAGTTAAGTTGTACGTCGGGAAAACGAGGCGGGGGGAGAGCCCCCTTCCCCCTCTAGTCTCCCCACGTTTTTTTTTTCTTCGTGACTTTTTCTCCCGCGCTCTACTATCTGAACGCCTCTTCCGGAAGGCCACAGTCATCCTTCGGGAGACAATCTTCCCAGACAATCAGAAACGCGCTTGTAGACCCGAATCCAACTAGACTTGAAACGCGATCGCATAATGACTGTTGTGCGATCGATCATGTATACAGTGAAACCTCTATTAAGCGGACGCGGACACTAAAATAAACTGTATTTGGCTAATTTCTATTGCTAGAAACCTCTATTAAGAGGACCCTGGACTGAACTGACAATAGTAGTATTGGATTACGTCCTTGAAATACGTATTGCAGTAGATTTTAATGAAGATAAATCAATACATTTAGCTGTCAAAAGTTCAACTAAAAGTCTTGCACAAAGTTCACCACAACTTCACTAGCTTCCTTAACTACATGGACCTTTACCACAGAGCAGAGCAGACATAGCGGAAGCCGTTGAATGTTAATCGTTCACAAACATTGCGCAACTTTTTTGGAACCTCTATTGAGCGGACACTTGGGAAGGTCCCGATGGTGTCCGCTTAATAGAGTTTCACTTATTTGTATTGTACACACCTGCAAAGTTCAAAGGTTTATTGCTGTTAATTATGATTTTATTGGCATGCTTGTTTTGATGAGTGGCTTATATCTTTTGGGAAATGCGAAACCGCCATACACCAAACTACACTTAAGTACAAATAGAGTATAAGTGTACTCTGGGTACTGAGAAATCTTTTCTTGCGTGATAAGATGTGTGAATTTCAGTGTGAGTAATTGAACTTTATTATACAAAAAGGTTAACCTTAACGCATGTTTGCTATAGCCTATGCTGAAAACCGTGCATGAAAAAGTCTCTGGTAGCTAAGGTAAGCATTGTCTGTAGCGAAGCAATTTGTTTTTATTTGGTGGATGAATACACCATCGACCTTGGCTGGCTGATCTGTCACTCCTGAAAACTAACTACTTTTGTTGTTGTTGTTGTTGTTATCTCTATGGCAACATTAAATATTTTATGGGTTATGACGTAGCTAGGGAATATTGACTTCATTCAAAATGAACGCCATCTTGGAAGTTATAGAAAATTCATATTAACGCTGTTTTAGCATTTCAGTTGTGCTTTTGGATCTTATCCATGCCAATTGAACAATTTGCCTATTATATAAGGTTACTAGAAAACTACCACAAAAAGTATGATTGCAAAAAATTTGGATGAAAAACATCCATTTACACTGTCGTTTAAATTTTGTAGCAAAACGTAGTAACTACTGTACTAACGTCTTACAATATTTATACAGCAGTACAGCAGTTTGGAATACAAAAAATTTGAATAACATCTTGAAGTTCAAAATTCTTTATACGTAATGATTTCACTATAACAAGAGTAAGAAAAATAACTTACAATGTAAACAATGACATTACCACGTAAGGCTTTGCCAAAATGTAAAGTTCTACAAAAGAGATTGATATTTGCGACTAGAAACAAATATTTATTCTAATCCCAACAGATAACAAAAAAAAATAAAATGAAAAAATAAAATAAAATAAAAATATCACAAAACGGTAAAACAAAAATTTTCATCCGCAGTACTCAACAGTAATGTAAATTAAGCTGTCAGGTATTGATATTTATAATCCAGGTTCTCCTTGATATACCTATCTCGAGCACAGAATTGGAAATATTTTTGTACCAATTAAGAGATTTTAACCAAGATTGTGTTGGCCTATTTACACCTAATGGAACGTCATGTGAATGACGATTAAATTTTCTTTTTAAATGACACATTCAATTTAAAAGCTTTTTATCTAAAAGTAACAAGCTACATTCGTGCGGCAGTGAGATCTAAAACTCAAAACATACATGGAAAATAAGTGACTATGGATATAGGAAAAAACAAAGTCTAAAGTGGCGTCTCAATTAATAACAATAAAACTTAAAAAAATGGAATTTACAACAAAATAAACGAATCGTTCAAACTTCAAAAAATAATAGACCATTTTACGGTCATGAGCTTCTATATTTAAAAAATCATAAAAATGCAGGAAAAGATAATTGTGATTATTATTAATAACAGTGCACAATCAAAAAAGAGAAGTTTAAAGAGTGATTCAGAGCTGTGAGCTTCAGCAATAACACAATAAAGTTTATCATTTTATAGTCTGAACCTAAATTTCCGAGTTCATGTTTCCGTACAAATATGTAACTAGGGAGACTGATCTCGAGGAGTTTGGTTTTAACGCCACGTTTTAAAAACTATCACAGACATTGTAAAAGCTATTTGGGTGGGACGCCACAATTTGTACGACAGTGTTAATGTCGAACTGATGGCAGTTAAAATGAATGCGCAAAACATCAGTGAACAAAAGAAAGGGATAAAGAAGAATATGTCTGAATAGCAGTGATACCGAAAACTTAAATAAACGAAAAAGAAGAATAAGAAAAATTAAAAATAAAATAAAAAACATTACGCGCCAGATGGCAAAATTCAAACTCTAGTACTCCTTTGAGTTTTATGCAAATCTCCGTGAACTCATCGGGATAGGTTATGACGATCCTAGAAAAAAAAAACAAAACAAAACAAAACAAGAAGAAGGAAAAAAAAGAGATCTTTTAATGCACTTTGCTTTTACTGGTTATGAAAAAATGGCGATCCAAATATTAGTCAGGCATACCGCAGGTAAAATACTTTGCCCTGTGCATTTTGGTAAAAAATTCAGACTTATCTTTTCCGAAATTTTCTTTTCTGGAAGCGTACAATAATTTTTTATTTATTCAAGTCATACACTTGTGGACGACGTGAATTATATATTAAATGCCTCCTTCTTATCGATCTGTAAACATGTAGTTCTTCACATGAAGTATCATACTGGACAGGTCATTCAATTATTGTTTTGGTATGCATGGTTCAGACAGACTCAGGCCTTGATTTCCATTGCCATTCCTTCTTTCTGGCCCTACTTATTTGCCCCTCAGCCGGTGTTCGATTACCAGTCGCTTGAAGGGAGAAAATCAGACCCGAATTAAAACATTGGAAATTACTTTTTGGTTTTACCAGCGTGATGATCGTCATTCTCTGTAACCGCTTAGCCGCCTCATTGTCATGCAGCGTATTTTAGCGAGTGACATTGAAAATTGTCTCGCCTTGGGCCTCATTATCTTGCGCTGCCTTATCTTTGCTTTGGGTCTCGTGGTCTGCATATGACCGTTTCAAGAAAATGTGTTCTATAGGGACTGGGGAACTAGCCTCCCACTCAGACGTTCTTAGGGGTTCGTCACGCGTTGGGCAGGAACGCGTGACGAACCCCTATAAGAACATCTGCGTGGGAGGCTACTGGGGAACGTGCTGACTATCCTAAAGTTTTATTCAAAAGAAAACAATATTCGATCCTCTAGCTTGATTTAGGAACGGCCTGTTTCGAATGCTGAGACAGAATCGTAATCTGACGAGGTATCGAGAGCTTATCTTGAGGCATAAAGTTCCTGCAATAAAAGTTAACAGTTTTCAAATTAAGTGTTTCCTCGATGGCAAAAAGCAAGCAAAAATCAGGGGGTGTAAATATTTACCACGAGTGTCTCGAAGAAAATTGTATTCTCAGCGGGACAATTAAAATAACACGACAGCTCTATTTCCAAGTTAGGAAAAAATTTCTGTAACTGGAAAATTTTCCGACAATCCAACTGACTGTCGCATGCTCGTATATTCAAAGCCTGCTTACAACTGTCTAATATTTAGGTAATAGCGCATATTGAACCATAAAATTGCTGCGACTGCAGTCGTCGCGGTTAACATGCTAAGATCAGCCAATGATCTTTGCTACGATCGCTGGGTAAAAAGAAGATTGAAATAGTAGGCCAGCGATCGTATAGTAATCTCAACGGCCCCAGCCATCACAGCATGCAGTCTTAAATGGAAGGTTCTTAGGCGATCGCTGTCACAAAGTATCGTATGACATGCGAAAAGTTGATTCGCCACAGTCTCTGTATAAAGCCTAACTTTGCCTTTTTCAGCGACTGTGGTGATTCAGTGTGGTAGTTTGTGGTACAGGAAACTGTGAACATGCCGGAGTACGTGGGTTTGGTTTACAACCTGCTATCAATAACAAAGCTTTACATCTTTCGAAGTCTGCGTTGTATTCTTTCTGTTGCATTTTTTGTGGACAAAGCACCACCGAAAATTTTGCGTGTACGCAATAAATTATTCACCAGTCATTGGATGCTCGAGAACGGCTTTACTCGATGGTCAAAAGATTTTAAATTCGGGCGTAAATTTCACTGCAAAAACTAGTCTAATTCATGATCGGTTTAACAAGGTAAACTACAAATCTTGGAAAAGAATCATGCAAAGCTTTTACCAAGGTTTAATTTTGTTCCTTTCACTTTTTCAACGTGGACTCGCGGGCCAATTTAGCGTCAATCAAGAAAACTCGTGTCGTTCTGATCGTTGTTCCAGTGAAGATCGAGGACCCTGTCTAGATGATGGAGAAAAGAAGCTATACCGCTGGGATCCTGTTAAGGTTTGTCAGTTATTTAACGAATCAAAACACAAATGAAGGTTATATTTAAAGATTATAGCGATTTATAGCAAAGATGAAACTACCACCGTGGTGGTTTCTCACCGGTTTCAACACTAATTAAAGTAGATGGCGTATTTTTTTTTTGTCTCGCTAAGATATAGTTCACTTCATTGTCGAGCTAAATTATTCTGCGAATGTATTTATTAGTGCTGGTTTTCTAAATGTAGATTACACACCATTTTACAGCAGATGTCAGCTTATTTTCACGCACTGATGACTTAAAAACAAAAACAACGGTGGAAATTACTTGTCGTTGAACTGTTCAACTGTCTGTCATGAACTTCCTCCGATTTCTCAAAAAAAAAAGCACGCGTCCACACGTCGCGTATTTAAATCATTTTTGCCCGTCCACATGGGGTCCACATGTTGCGCTAAAACGATGGAAAAACGATAGCATGTTTTACAGAACTTGCGCATGGCTAGTAGTATACCAGAAATACGTGAATCCCAGAGCCTCGCGAAGCATAGGTTATGTAAGGGCCAAAAGTAGAAAGAAAGGGAAAGAAGCCAATAGAAAAAAGAGAATATATCATCAATTATGACGGATATCATAACCTTTTCAAGAACCTCCTTTCTCGTCCGTCGTCACGTAAACGAGTAGCCGGCGTTTTCACGAATATACATTATGGGGACCATTTTTGAGAACCCGTCGCGTTTTTGGTGCCTGAAACGGCGAACTCCGTTTACGCGTGGACGGAGGGCTAAAACGGAAAAAAATCCGGGATCTTAATCAAGCCTAGGTAAACTCCGTTTAAATTATCGGTCCTTACTGATTTAATCATCTGATTTCTTCATAGGTTGGATACAAAAGAAGACTGAAACTTGAAGGAGACAAGGTTTATACCATGATTACAAAGGCCATAGACCCACCTATTTTTGGTAAAGACAGTTTTCAGTTTAAGAACCGTACTTTTATACAGCCGTTTGCGACTTCCAAACTAGATTCTAGAGAACTTTTGCCGTATACATTGTTTGTCTAAAGGTTGCGAAGTCTATTTTATCAACCAAGCCCTTGCAGAACTTCATCTTTTGCAACACATATAAAAATCATAGAAAATACTTTGACACAGTGAAGCAGTAAGACCTAAATAGTTGCAGGGAAACGGGCATTTATTTATGATGTCAGTGAGACTGAGAGAAGACGAACATGAAACTTCACGCTTGTTATAACACTGAGTGCAGTAATCTGAATCAGTGACTTAACTACTATAACCAGTGAACTGTTTTCATCTGCTTCTTTTGTAGAAATTCCAGATTTCATGACTCCAGAGGAAGCTGACCACATCATTGAACTAGCTGAAGAGAGTGGCTTCGCTAAAAGTGATATCCACCTAGACCCTAAGGCTAAAGAGCATGCGCAAACATTGAGATCAATGGAAGGTAATGTTCTGTTAAAATATTACTTATTAATACCCAGTAAAATTGTTCAGTTTGCTAGGAAACGTTTGCCAGCGTTTTCTCTAATCCTGGCTCGTGCGTTGATAGCCTCTCGTGCTCCCTCCCCTCCAGTACATGCTTCGAGTTCGTTTCCTGCACTTCCCTTTTCGCGTTTTTTGTTACGCTGAAGTTGGGCCATTTTCTCTACCAAGATATGTTTCTTTATTTTTTCGGGTAGTTCAGTCTAATTAGTTAACTTCTTTTGCTGCTTAATTTTCATTGGTTGTTGACTGTCCGACTTTAACTGTCCAATTGAAGCAAGCAGCATCTTAACAGGACAAATCGGACAAGTCAGAAAATAGGGCTGCCTTCGCTAGATTTATAAACAGGAGTGAATAAGGACTAACAGATGTAATCGGATTCGAACATATTGTTGGACACGATGACATTTTTAAATTGCCTACCTGCACTATAGGTCATTCTAATAGCTCTGCTGGTTATTTTCTGAACTGGGACTTGAACAGAGATTACGAAATCACAAAAGATGAGGTAGGTCTTCATGAGGTCTTGGTCTCAGATCTATTTTATAACTCTGCGCATGTTTAACAAAATTTCAGTCTATTGTCGAATAGTCATTGAAGAATAATAATATTTTTTAACTTAGGAAACCTTTTATTTCTTTAATTATTAATTAATTAATATATTTGTATAGGTAATAGCATGATTTGTAGTGATATTTGGCATAAATACCACGAGTGATATTTCGAAATTGTTATACGTAATTTCACGAGCCGTTAGGCGAGTGAAATTTGAGACAATTTTGAAATATCACGAGCGGTATCTATGCCAAATATCACATACAAATCATGCTATTTTTTGTTTATACTACTACCAGCTAAAGGTTTGTAATTTTCACATGTAGGTATTTCAAATTAAGCTGAAATACCACTGCTCTAAGCCAATCAGATTGCAGAAATTTCTCATGTAGTAGTATAAACTTATTTAACTCAATGACTATCGATTTCCTCTCAAATTGGCGGATGAAAGTAAACTACACTAACTTCTATGGCAAGTTGTCATCTAACGACCAGTAGTTCCTTATAATAAGACGAAAAACTCAATAAACAGCAAGACGAGATCTTTTTAGAGTACGAGATGAAATGATCTATCGCCCCATGCAAGGGAATCCAAGACAGTCTTGAATACTGGATTTCATGCCATGTATTCCGGATTCGCTGGTAGTAGAACTTGGATTCCGGAATCCAGTCGTCAGTGGGATCCGGAATCGTTAAACAGCATTCCGGATTCCACTAGCAAAACGTTCTCGCATTCCCTTTCACGGAGCGATTTCTACGCTTTACGCAGCCAAGGACAAACAGTTTCTGCCTTTATAAGGCAATTAAATTTATTACTTGGATGCTCTGTAAGACGTATTCACTGCAGTCCTACGACGTTTCTTTTCACTCATGGGTGTCCTTTTTCTACGCAGGTAATAGAGTTTGCTAAAAAGTTTAAATTTCTGTACATGAACCTAAAGGAAGTAGACGAAATGTAAGTTTATACGTATCGTTTCTTTCATTTGCGGCCATCTAAACTGCGCGCAAGATTTACTTTATCACATGTCTATGGTTCCTAAAATTACAATAATAGATAAGATAATAGTAAAGGCATGATAATTTCATTTACGTGGTTAGTACCGTGACTGACACGTCACAAGGCGTCCTTGGAGGCTAAGGGGTAGCAGATTTGGACGGGATATTTACAAGCTAAATCTCTGCAGGCGAAGATCACAACAAGAACGGGAGAACCTATCCTAGAGCCAGTTACAAAGGCTTAAAAAATTCCCGCTTCTTATTGGCTAAAATAAACAATAATAATAGTGTTGTTGACGATGGTTGCGATGACAATGACGATGACTATGGCGATGACGATGACGACGATGGTGATGATGATAATAACAATGATAATGATGATGATGATGATGATAATGAGTGTGAGGTCCATGGGTACTATATAGTAATGGGTTTTTATATTGCGGTGGCTCCGTTCCATCAAGAAGGCTCACAAACTCAATTATGACGTAATTTACATTTTTATGTAGATGTGTTGATTAAATGAAAAAAAGGAAAGAGACGAATAATTAACTAATATCTCTTGTTGCTTGCAGGATAGAGACTTTGGATCTTAAAGAATTTGATGACGGTTTGTAACTAAATATTTTGTAATGAGTAAAGTTTATGTACGTATTCCCCTTTTCTTCGCAAAGATAGTTCGTTTTTGGTACCATGTAATGAAAATATATGTCTAAAATATATTTTTTAACAATACTGGTCGGAAGTTGGCTTTTCATTTGACTCCTCTTTAAAGGGGACAGGGGAGAAAAAGGAGGAATCCCTTCACTCAAGACTAGAGAACAAGCAGCACTAGTTATGATGATGATGACGATGATGATGATTTGTTTATTCATTCATTTATAAATTTATAAATTGAATCCTTATTTCCTTCCAAAAAATTCAAAAGAATCTATGGCAGTTGTTTAAATTTCGTTTCTTGCACAATAATATTGAAAAAAAAATTAAAGAAAGAAAGATAAGCTTGGAGCTAGGTTTTATAAGGTAGATCATCAACGTCATTGCAACCTATCCCAATAAATGCTTTCGACTATTACTTGTATTATCAACAGAGGTCGTAGGATATGAAGAATGGAGATCATTGAAGACGCACGCCATTGATATGTACATGAATGATATGAAAGAGAAGCATCCTCACCATAGAGATCGATTTAGCGATCAAGTATGGCTCTTCCAACACGTCGATCCAACACTACTGAGGCTTAAACAAAGGTAAACTTAACAATTTCCGTTGATAAAACGACAACAACACAACAACAGCAGCAACAAAAAAAATGCGGTGCCGTGGAACGTACATAAACGGAAGTGTACATAATCTTGTGGGTTTCCTTGATTATAAAAACTTTCTCCACCCTCTCCCCCTTTCCCTCCATATTAAAATTTTCAAAGTCGTCTGATAATAGTTCCAAGAGTAAGACTGATGGCAAAAGTTCCCTCAGTAACATTTCGTTTTCAGATAAATTCTAGTAGTGGTAAGGGAGCGGTCATTAACTATTGGGGGGGGGAGGGCTGGTAAATTTTGGGGGAGGGCTGTGTTTTTTTGGGCGCCCATTTGGGGTGGGCCATAATTTTATGGGCCCACGTTTTATAGGGGAGGGTTACAATTTCTGGGCGCCTTTTATTAAAACTTTGGGCGATGTGCACAAATGGGTTTTGTGCTATTGACTTTAGCATGGCAAGAGAATCTTCATAGAATCGTATACTCAAAGCTTAATTGCACAGTGAAAAAGCTCACACCCAGAACAATTTTATAAACATCACTTGATTTATTGTTATTTTAAAAAATCAACAAATTCTGGTATGCTATAAAACTCAATCAGTCTTAAACAGTAACGGTATCAAACATATTGCCAATGTCCAGTGAAGATGTATAAACGACTACTCAATGGGCTCATAGTAAGGAGTGCATTCCATTGTGTTCCAGTAGGGGCCAATGTCTTCTGCACTGCTGCTGTCGTATGCTTCCACTGCAGTAAAGACACTTCCCGAATCCTCCTCCTGACATTGTTCAGTTACATCACCATCATCGGCCCCGTCATCGCTATTTCTTTCACTGTCTTTGCTGTCATTGATGCTACTTAGGTTGTCTTGGTCGCTACTTTCATCGCCGTCACTTGCATTAGAGCTACTCTCACTTTCAGAAAACCCTAACATTGTTCTAAGCTCTGATTTCGCGCTGTCATTCAAAAGTTCGCACTGATCAAACATCAAAGCTACCGCCCATTTCTGCTCTCTTTTCCAAGTTCTTTTACGATGTCTCCGCACAAATCCTCCTTCTCACAAATCTTACCCTCCGACCAATCAGGCGCAATCTTCTTGAGAACCTCAGTCGTCCTGGCCACATGCCTCGCCTTTTTCCGCTTCACACTCTTTTGGGTATTTTGTTTCCTTTTCTTGATTTTCTTTTCATTGCAGAAAAGGGGTGCTTAAATGCTGCTTTGCAGGTTTCTTGGAGCTGACTTAGACTAGTTATTAAAGTGTGTAATTCATTTCTAAAACCCTGCAATTCGGTTAGCTTTTGCTCATCAAAGTCATGTGCAGTTTTATGTCCTGTTAAAACTCTACCTGATGAATGGATTGTTCTTTCTAAGTGTTCCTTTAGGTTTTTTTGTAAAGTTTCGATTGAAGTTTCGACCCTCTTTATGTGTAACATGTTCTGCGTTATGGTCGTTGAATCATGCGGCTTGAGAATGTGGTTTTCTCTTAGAAGAAATCCAGCCTTAGAAGGATCCTTTACAGATTTCAGTTGCGCTAATTGCTCTCTAATTTTTTTTACCGCCTTCTCATTGTCGTATTCCCTTCTCGCTTCTTCATGGAATGCTTTCTTAAAGGCCTTCTTGTTTCCACCAAAATAGCCAACCCGTTCCAAATAAAATGATTCGTACACTTAGGAACGCTAAAGAAACTGAAAGTTAAGATCTTAGACCTGTATGTCATGGAAAGGAAGCTAAAGCATTCCAAAGGAGCACTGAAGCAAGAAAAAATAGACCTCATAACCATAGACATTGCTAAGAAGATAATTGAAGGTAGCGAAAATCTCGATGACAGCGATTGTGACGATGATGTTGATGATGACATTGATGATGGCAATGATGATGGTGTCTTGGACGAAATCGGAGAGGATGATAGCGATGATGACATCAGTGAGGATTCTGATGAGGACCAGGAGGAAGACGAATCGGTCCAGCAGGAAAATAACTTTGAAAATCTTTTGCACACCACACGATATGGCCGAACTTGCAGGACCTGGAGGGGTCGAGCAAGAGCTGCGGACTTCTCTTGAATAGAGACAGCTCTCGCTGATCCGTTATTAAATACGCACAATTTGTTCACTCTTGAAATTGACTACAAAACAGGAATTCAATGAGTAACAACGGGGCTGTTTAATGTACGGGTTCCCTTTACTTGGTGAACCATTGGGTTTTGTAAATAGTGTATTAAAATAGTAACACTTTTTTCTTATTCCAGTGAAATAATTGTCTCAAAATAACGTTCGTAAAAAAATCAAAAGTTTTTCACAGGGGAGGGTTACAATTTTTTGGGCTCACATTTTAAAGGGGGCCAAGATTTTTGGGCTGTTAACCTGAGAGGGGCTAACATTTTTGGGCTCTAACCTTTGAAATAATACCGACCCTCCCCCCCCAATAGTTAATGACCGCTCCCTAACGAAAAGAGGTAGATACCACTCTTGCTGAAATACTTCTTCATAATACATAATTTTCACTAAATTCATCTGTCAAAGTTTTTGAGATGTGATTGGCTGTGTGGACGGACAGGAGGATCCAAGGAAAAAACTAATAAGAATTTACATACAAAAGTGTATGTAGAGTTTATCAAAAGACCTGTGCGCGTATAGTGTACCTGGTTCTCTACACCTTCATCATCTTCATCATTCATATCATTATATTTATCTTGATTTTACGCTAATTGTCTTTTGAGGTTACCGAGGGTCCTCAGTAGGGTTCTTCAATCTCGAAATCTCGACCCCAATTTTCGATCCGCAATCCAAAATCCCGAATCTTGGTCAGCTTTCAATAAGTCAAATCCTGGATACCGAAAAGCCTACTGGGGATCCATGTTATTCTCAAGTGGCTCATGAAAATCCGAAAAAAAAAAAAGACGAAAAAAAAACAAAAAAAACGACAAAAACAAACAAACGACTTGTTAAAAGGTTTCTTAAGTTGAATTTAATGATAAATTACATTAACACCTAATTATCTTCAAGTTACCTATTGAATATTTTAATCACAAGATAGTCATTATTCGACAGTTATCTTTCTGCATAGAAAGAGCTTTCAATGACAATTTTCCGTCTGATATTGTTTTACAGAGTTCATAAGCTAACTCGTCTTCAGAAGAGGATAGTATATGGTGGCGAACCACTCCAGGTATATTTCAAAAGAGCTTGTGTTGAAGCCTATCTTTATCTAAGTGGGCACCTTTATGCTTGTCACAATTTAAATCCCTCCTTAAACTGTCGTATACGATATCTATTTGAAAAACACATCCTGGTAGAGCACAGCACGGATTCAACCTACATGTATCTGCATTTTCTAATACTTTCTAATAGCCTAGCTGTTTTACAATTTCTCCTTAATTGCACATTTTAAAGCACAAACTAATAAAGCATTCCAATGGGTACTGGCAAGAGTGAATCATTCTCTCTTGGTATTGGCCAATAGAAAACACTCCGAATTTATAGGAACCGATATTACTGAACATGATGATCTCGTTTCCATTTACTCAAAATAAAATTGAAGGGAAAATTGATGCATATTGAGGCCTTTAGTTCATTACTTGAAATTGATTTGTGCATTAGATTATATAAGCAATTAATGTAACGGAGCAATAGAGATATGATTCCATTAAGAAGACTACGAGGAGGAGATTTTGAAGGCGTGCGTAAACCAGCGTCATTTTGGCGGGAAAACACGCTGGATAGCCCCCTTTATTCTACTACGTGTTTTAGCGAAAATGTCGTAGTGGCGGAAACAAATTAAGTTATCAAAATGTTAGAAGATTTCGATTTGGGCTCCGGAGAAGGCTTCAACGAACCCACATCCTTTAATAAAAATAAAGATGCTTATTTTACTGGTGAAAGAAACTTTACTACGCTGAAGCTTTCCAGGGTGTTGAGTTTTGAGAATACTCGACAAAAAAAACCTGAGGTCATTTAAATCTCGTCCGCTAGTAGTCGCCCTTGTTCTCAAATCTGAAGGTCTCTAATATTTACCATTGGCTTACCTCAGGTGGTAAAATATGGACCCTTTGGTCATTACCATGCGCACTATGACAGCTCTAAAAAGTCTGACTACCCTGAAGGGACCGAATGCTGTCATTACGATTTGGCAAAGGCTCCTATGGGAAAATGCAGGATTTGTAGGTAAGTGATGGACGACTTTTGCAAATAAAACGCTTTTCCAAATGCGGTTAAGCCTAAGTTGTTTTTGGACCCAAACAACGAACGTGATTATTGCGATACACGGAATAACTAAGGTCGAGGTAAATGTTATATAATGGACATCCCAAAAACCGTGTCTACTGAACAATATTGTTCTATTGTATTTTGTTTTGAAGAAATAACAACAAACGCACAGTCGCACGGAACACTGTTTGACAAAGCTCTTTGAAATCATACATTGCGTGCGCATCCTACAGATTATTCAGTTTTCTGCTAACAGATAACTAACCGTGATCTGTTGGTCAGGGTTGCCCTGCTTTCCAAAATTAACTGTAGGCACTTAGCCAATGAAAAGACAGATAGTGAGTACAATGTGTAATAAAATGGCATAATGACTTTATATACCTAATTACCCATAATGAAAATCGCGCAATGTCACTGAAACATACACTACATCTTTCCCTTTTGACCAGATGTCCTCTTTAGCTTTACTCCTAAACACAGTTGCTATTTAAAATTACAAAAGACAATAATTTGGCTCTAACTGACTAGACTAAGTTATTAAAACAAGGATTAGAAACTGCAAATTAAAATTTGTATTACTAAATGGTCGCAAGGGACTTAAATTTCTAAATTGTTGCATTCATTTTTTTTCCCTTTTTTTAGTCTTCTTTCTTTCTTTTTCACTGTTCTAACTTAGGCTCATACTGGATAGCTTTTACTGCCGGCACGAAAAGCTATGCGGTTTAGTGTGAACAAAGCCTAAAAAATGTGTTACGGAATTCAGGGCAAAACGAAATAAAATTCTGGGGAGGAATCACCTACAATCTTGGACAAAACTGTTGAGAGAACTGCATACTTGGGCAGCGTTTTTCTAAACATCATAGTTGTTACCGATTGTCCCTCTCCCACTCCCCCTGGAAGCAATGTTGTTGTGTTCAAAAGAAAGCCTGATCCCTCAGCGTTTTTAGGAAGCAACATTAAACTGGGGGAAGGGGATTTCTTTTGACAAAGTCGCTGTTTTGGAAATAGTTTTGTTTCGTAGGATAGTGTACATTATGACAAAAACATTCTTAAGTAGGTTTTTCCAGGATTGTGGAAAAAAGGCCTATTTAAACGCTTGTTTGAATTTTAATGGGAGAATACAATATACTATTTCTTGATACGTGTAAAATCTCTTGACCTGGCCCCGGTTTTTTAAAAGCTGGGTAACGCCGTCCACTGGATAAATCTTTGTCCAGTGGATAACGTAATTAGTTTCTGTAATACTTATCCACTGGGTAATGATTTATCTGGGCCCATCAGTTGTTAGAAAAGTGGATAACGCTATCCACTGGATACATCACTATCCTCTAGTGGATAACGCAATTGATTTCCCAAATACTTATCCGTTGGATAGCGATTTATCCGGTGGATAGCGCTATCCAACGTTTGAACAACCGGGCGGCCTGGACACCATCTTGGCCTGAGATACACACTACTTACTAGTAATTTTGCTAATTTTCCATTGTTTTTGTAACGCCGGATCCCGTTAATGGTTTATTTACAGGTACATCACCATCCTCTATTATCTAAATGACGTAGAAGAAGGCGGAGAAACTGCTTTCCCTGTAGCCGATATGAAAAATTTCAATGAAACTGTAAGTTTGCTTATGCTGCTCCCTATAAGAAATGCGTGTAAAGACTGTATTTTTCTGTCTCTCCTTACCGTATTATTCTTCAATAAAGGGACACAAATACCCATTTTCCAGCAAATGAAACGTGCTACATATAAATACTATTATTCTGTCTTACAGTTATTTCCGAGCAAGGCGTTTCAGTTTTCAAAGAGTTTCCTTCAATTATAGATTAAAATAAACAACAAATCAATAATTCACTTTAAAAAAAAACTATTTCGTCAAGACACTATTTACAATTCCTTTAGAAAAAAATTCATTTCATTAAGCGAAAAACATAACAATAATAATAATAATAATAATAATAATAATTTTTATTATTATTGTTATTATAATAATAATAATTATTATAAATATTATCTTTATTATTATTATTCTATTTTTAGTTTATTTCATTATTATGATAATTTTTTTGTCTTAGGAATTCAGAGACAGAAAAGATGGAGACCGCTTTAACCTGAATCATTATTGTCAAACCGCCAACATTGTTGTACCAGCAAAAAAAGGGAAAGCTATCATGTGGTATAACTATATTCTTGATGGAACGACAGGTTGGATGAGCCACAGAGATGGTAGATCACTACATGGGGGATGCATCGTAAGGAAGGGAATGAAATACATAGCGAACAACTGGCTTCCTGCTCCAGAAAATGATTCAGCTCATCTTATAAGCGAATATTTTGAAGAACCAGAAGACGAATTTTAAACTTAGCCACTTATTTATTTAGGATAAGTCAGATCTAAATTGTTCTAGTTGTGAAATAATTATGCTCGCCTTCTTCCCTTTTAAATTAGCTTCGGTCGCAATGCTTCAGGGTAGAGTAAACAAGATAAAAACGCAAAAACAGGAAGTGTTTCTTTATTGATGGTCAAGTACTCAAAACAGTTCGCTCACACCAGGTTCTAGGGTCGGTTATCGAGGACAATCTGGGATGGAATGAGCACATCTGTGTGATTGTATCCAAGGCATCCAAGCGTCTACACATTATCTGTGTTCTCAGACGTAGAGGTGGTGTCATTGCTGCTGATCTTGTTGCTATCTACGTCGCTCTTGTACCTTCCGTCCTAGAGTATGGTTGTGTGATTTGGCATAACGCCCTGTCCATTATCTGTCTTGTGAAATAGAGCTGGTCCAAATGCGTGCTTTAAGGATAATATACTCCCGATCTTCATACCAGGAAGCCTTGCAACTTGATAAAATCTCTACACTTGAGGACAGGCGCAATGAACTCAATATAAGGACATATGACAAAATTACAAAAAGTGGACGTCTTTGTCAAAACATCTAACCCCGATTAGGACTATCGCCCATGAATATTCTCTTAGTTATTCTTACTGTTGGACGTCTTTTAAATGTAAAACTGTTTACGATTTGTTTTTAAGTTAGTATAATTCTTGTAGTAAGGCTTGGCGCACGCTACTGGTGTACACGAGCGTAACACCGTGCCTTACGCACGATTCGCGCTCAAGAAAAGGCACGGTTTTTGTGCCAAAGCACGGGAAAAAAACATGCAAAGGCACAGACTAGGCACACTTTAGGCACAGTTAAGGCACGTTTTAAATATTGCTAAGGCACACTTTAGGCACATTTTGAGCACAGTTTTGGCACGGTTTAGGCACGGTTTGGGCACAAATATTCAACGCTGGGCACTTTTTTGAAAATCTTTGTAACCCGACTTGCAAAAAAGAACAAACTTGGTACGAATTACAAAAATAATTCAGATCAAACACGATACAGTTAGAAGTATAGGAAGTGTAAGTTTTGAGCCGCGCCGAAAGTCTGGAAAATTAAAGTATTCTTCGACAGTCCGTGTTTACTCCGAGGATAAAGTGGAAATTCACACGCGATATATGCCGGTCTGAACCTTTTCGATTGCCATGCAATTTTATAGACTCGCTTTCTTTCGTTTCTAAAAGAAGTCGTGAAAGAAAGTCGAAGCCATAATAACAAAAACAAAGCTAAAGAAGTGAGGCACAAAAATAGCCAATAAAAGTCGTAGAAAATACTTTTTGCGATCGCGGTAAAATTGGCCTGAATTTGCATAACAACATCAGAGTGGTAATTTGAAACCTTCATGCCAACGCGTGTTATTTTTAAATACAAAATGCGGCTGGTTTTTAAAAATATTTCTCTAACTAAAAAAGTAGGATTTACACTGTAGTAAAATAATTCAAGCTGCTTGTTTGTTTTTGTTTTCTGGCTCTGTTAGCAAATTAAGCTTTGATCGTATAATAATCGATGAGACGTGCCATTTATTTCATCAAAACTCATCGGCGTGCAATCAATTTTTTCGTTTTCATTTTATAAGTCATATCACAAGTAAATTCTTTTTTTGAATGCAAATCTGCCCTCCTGAAAAAAACAAATATTTCGTTCCAACTAAACGCTCCATTAAGAAGGGGAGAAGAAACCTACTTGGAAATTTTTTAACATCGATGAAATTAGCATAATATCAACAATGTAATTGCATGCTGAGCACTTACTTTAAATACGCTAACCTGTTTAAGATTCCATTTTCCTGTTTGTCGGGGCTTTCCCTGCTGTCTCTAACCGTATTCTGAGTCATGTTATTTCTTATTAGGGGATAAAAAGGTCGTCAGACCGTGTTTCTAGACTTCGTAAACCTCAAAACTGACATAATTGCCGTGCGCCCTTTTCGTTCGCTATGGAGCTCGATAGGCTGGACACGATTTTCCGAGTGACTCAATATTTTGGCACAACTTGTGCACAGATTAGGCACAGTTTGGGCACAACTTAGGCACGGCTTAGGCACGTTTTTCAAAACTAAAATGCACACTTTATGCACATCTTAGGCACATTCTAGGCACAAAATCTTTATGCCAAAGCACACTCTAGAATCCGATTTTCGGTCCAACGCACGGTTTACGAATTTTCACGTTAAAAAAATGCTGTCTAACCTTACATATTTGATCTTAGCGTAAAAATGGGTTTCCCGAATTCTTAAAAGTTAGTCTATAAGGAAAATTTAACTTATGAGCATTCCAAAAATTATTATTTCTTCTCTTAACAACAACAGAAAGTCAATGAAAAGCAATCTTTTAAATTGACGTTCGCGCTGCACAGAGATCGTATGTAGACAGAACATCTTTCTGAAAACGCTCTAAACTTTGTTGTTTTGCCATTATGTTCAGTAATTTTTAATACAGTTAGTACTCATAAGTCACTGACCTCTTCGGAGAAATTTTTCCAAAGTACCATTAACAGAAACAGAGAAATCCGACAATTATATGCGTGGTTAGACTGTAAATGTTACGCGAGCTGTTAAAAAATGGTCCCATTTTGAGCCATATTTTTCATATTTCAATTTTATTTTGGTCTTACAGCCAGGAAAAAAATACTCAATGAAAAGCTGTTTATAAACTTTAACTTCTTGCCAAATATCGATGCGATCTGAGTTTTAATAAGTTCATAAGAGCCAAACGATGTGAGATTCTTAGCCGTGTACACCAGTAGCGTGCGCCAGGCCGTAACTATTATTGAATCATATTCTTGTAATAATTTACTATAGTTTTTACGATTTTTAATTAATATATTGTTAGGGAACAGTAAACTCCAATTCCAGTAAGGTTTTTGTAATTTTGCTATATATTGTAAACACATTGTAATTCATTTTCAATGCAAGAATGTGCATGATTAAACATCTTTATTTATTTTACTTTATTTAAAAACAGAACAATATATAAAATGGCCTTACAAGTTAAAAAGAAAAAACCTTCAGAAAAGGATTTTTTAATTTATTTAACAATTGCAATAACTATATACTTTTTTAACTTTTTTTTTAAGAATTCCTCCTATCTCGATTTTCCTTGTGCATACTGGGGTTTCTGGCTAGCTTAGAGTCGAGAAACCGCCTTTTACAAGTCAGTTATTATAGAGGGCTAACCGTTAATATAAATTAATGCCCCAGTCAAGTTTGAAGAAGCTAACTTAAATTTAAATTATTAAACCTAATTAAATAAGGTAACCCTTACAGTACAATTAAACAAAATCATTCAGCCCGTTTTATTTACTCGCTGGTCTCCGTTTTCGTTAGTAAAATTAAACCAAGACTGGAGGCGATTACTGGGCTCCTCGCAGAAATAAATCATACGTCTTAACCACTACAAGGAACCAAATAGCACCAGTTCTGATCGAGACTGATAAAAACGGAGTCGTAGCGCGACTGCTAAAAGGCAGAAACAGACTGTTACGGTTTGATCCGCGTATTTTGATAACAGAAGAAGGAGGAGTGAAGCGAGCGGAGAGGTGGACTGATTGTTTTGCCGATTGTTTTTTCGCCTTTTCCCAGTTTCCCAACTGTGGAGTCTGGCCCCATGCTAGCTAACTTGGAAAAATGCAGGTTATTAGTTGCGAGTTTTTTACTGTAAGTTTATCAAAATAGTGTTTGTGGTGTTGATGGATTGCGGGGGTACTGACGGTCTTCGAACAAATAAGTATTGGGTCGGAGTACTTTATAGCCTGCGTAGCCAGCGTTTCCTCGCGAGGTTCGTCTAGAAAGCTGCGACAAGAGCAAAAAAAAAAATGAATGACGGGGGAGGGGGAGGGGGAGGGGAAAGAAGGAACCGCTTGCCCGCAAACCCCACGATTTTGAAAAACTGCGTTCGCCCACGAACGCAGCTTCTGATTGGCGCGGTGCGGGTGGTGTTGATTACTTAGCCGATTCGAAACATCAATCAAACCAGGTATGCTTTGTTTTCGTGTGTCACAGATCTGGTCTCATCTGGACTGATATTTATTGGAATCGTGTTTGTGCGAAGGTTTATGAGATCAGAGTCTTCAAAGTATAATTGGAGATCGAGCAGTGGAGACTAGGGAAGGCCAATTTATTGAGAATCACGGCGTGCGGATCTGACTGGAAAAAATGGACTGTTTGTTGGAGATAACATCAACATAAATCAGAACATCGGTACTCGACACTAGCTGAAGCCGCCATGGACAAGCGATTTGTCAGCTTTTTGAAATGAAAAGATTCTTTTTGTTTATTGGAAATTTAGCGGCATCTATTGTAGAGAACGTTTCGACACAGGCTGAAGAGCAGCCGCTCTGCAAAACTTATATCCGACGGAGTGAATTGTTCTTGACGTGTCGAAAGGTTTCAGACGAGATAAAGCCACACAATAAAAAACAAGAAATTCCGCATCAATCGCTCACTGTTTTAACTTTCTTTTATCGTAAATCTTTTTTATTACAGTTCTTGCAATCGCCTCAGGGGCACCCAACGGCAATTTTCGGGAAAATATCTGTTCGGAAGACGATTTGAGATCTAAAATTTTCGGAGCATTTGTTGTAAAATTTCTTGCTTGCCTGCCTCTCCTGGGATTTTCGAACATCTACAAAATGGTATAATTACCCATTTTTAACGGATTTTGACCCTAAAAAAGGCCGCCTAGAATTTTCGAGAGCCTTTTCCTGGCTGAAATTTTCGAGAAGGTAAGTTTTTATCCCTATAATTTTCGGATCACTAGACTTTCAGCTAGGAAATCCGAACAGATGAAAAGTTTTTAGGGGATAAAAATATGCCTATATCTACCGTTTGAATACTAAAATACGTTCAACAATGCTATGTTAAGTGGTTTTGAACTATATCCTCGTTGGGTGCCCCTGTCGCCTGCAACGTGTTCTATTAGAGGTACCTGGTAATCCAGGGGTAATCTGTTGGTTATGTTTCTATTTTGATGAGCTGTCAATTTAAAAATGAACCGAACCGTGAAATATCAAGGGGCATTTTCCAGAATCGTGGGGTTTGCGGGCAAGCGTTTCCTCTCCCCCCTCCCCCTTCAACCTTTTTTTTTTTTTTGCTTCCGCTCTAACTTTCGCGCAATAACTCGATTGGAAACGCTTGCTACGCAGGCTAAGTACTTTAAGAGGTTCTCCGACGGCAGCAATTGTGATAGCCAATACTGACCCACGCTGACCAACAGCCTAATAGCCAGAGGAAAACAAGACAGGCAACAACAGAAAAAAAAAATGAGTAATTAAGAGACAGGAGGAAAAATATGATCAAAGGGAAATTTTATTTAAAACATGAAAAAACCAGCGCCTATATTGGTATTCCTGTGACACTTCTTCGCGACTGCACTCATTAGGCACAGCGGATCAAATTCCAACATGGCGGCTTTACCTTTCGTTGGAACGTTGGATTCAGACGACGATGTTGAACAATTCGACGATGAAACCGACAGTGAAGGTGAATCAGAAAAGGTATATAGTAATTCCTGTTTACTGTGATACCTTTTCTAATTTCACTTAGGGATCTTCTTGAATTTTTAGCCAGTCAAGAAGACCAAGGCAAAGAAGAAAGGGAAGTCGTTGTTCGATGATAGCTTTCAGTTCTTTTCGGGAGACACTGAAGACTTTTCTGAGGATCCTTGGAACCTTGACGCTGCTATCAACTTTGCTAAGAGAAAACAAGCGTCGGTGAGTAAATGACTTAAAGGATTCCGTCCTGTACTATCAATTGAATGGCTATTTATAACTGAATGATTTGACACGTGGTTACAAAGAAAATTCAGTGTACTGAATATAATTATGCGTTAATAACAGGCAGGTACAAAAGTCGGACCGGATCAACTCGGACCGCCAGTCCGAGTCGGATCAACTCGGATCGACTCGGACCAACTCGGATCGAATAAAAAAATAAAAATAAAATAAAACTGGACTCGGATCAACTCGGATCATAAAAAAAAACAACTCGGATTATAAAAAGAAAAATAAAATCAGTCGGTATCCCTCAACTTTCACCCGCCATTTTGTTTTTTTTTCTCACGAACTCGTGGTTGTGGAAATTAATTTATTTTTATTTTTGTTAATTTTAATGGTACACTAGTGAGCAGCACACACACACTTCCAGTGAACATTTTCAACTTGGAAGGAGGACAAACCATACTCGCCCGGGACAAAGAAAATTTTCGTACCCGAGGCGAGAATTGAACTCACGACCCTCTGAATACTACATGAAAATCAGACGTTCCAACCACTGAACCGGAGGGTCACGAGTTCTATTCTTGCCGTGGGCATGGAAATTTCCTTTGTCCTGGGCGAGCATGTAATGGTTTCTCCTCCTTCCAAGTTGAAATTGTTCACTGGAAATGTATGTGTGCTGCTCACTAGTGTATCATTAAAATTGAGTTTCAGAAGTCCCAGGGCTCGAAATTAGTTTTTTGGCTAACTAACCCTTCAGGTTAGTGGGCATAAATTTTACTAACCAAACTATAAAGTCTATTATCCAAGAATCTGTTCTTGAAATAACAATGTTTTGACTGTTAAAAGTAGTGCTAAAAATGGGGCAAACTAATGAATGGATGGATTGGTTCAAATTGCATGATGATCTGAAAAACGAAATAATATAGAAGATTTAATGTTCATTTACATTTTCCTTTCAATTACGTTACTCAAGGGGGGGAAGTTTCACCATGAACAGTGCAAAGCGTTGTTTGTTTTTTTAGAGTCATCGAACTGCAGCCTAGTCTGCTACACAGCCGTTTTTAGCATTGCGTGACGACACTAAAAACGGCTGTGTGGCAGACTAACTGCAGCCAGGTGAATGCCTTTTTCGATTCTTGGTGGAAAGTTCTTTCTTTCTTCATACGCCCTCCGCGTGTGCAAGGAACCTTCTATAGCTGTGTCTTCCCATCCAACAAAAGCCTGGTTACCTTGAGTTCCGTGAAATGAGCGTTTTCATGTCATTCGATTATGCTGTAAGCATATCTTTTAGAACAATAAATTGATCAAGATAGAACACAATGTTATGCAAAAGAGAAACAGATGTAAGATTTTCAATGACAGAAATTTTTACTAACCGTGTCGGGATAGTGAGGCTCATTTTTAGTAACCAGACGTAAGAATCTACTAACCATTGGTTAACGGGTTACCGTTAATTTCGAGCCCTGAGTCCTGCAGAAAAAAAAACAAACAGGAACAAACAAACAAACACTCTTCAGTAACTATCTAAATGCGATCAACAGACAAGGCTTTTGACGATTTTCTCATAAATAATTCAGTAGTCTAATAAATAAGAAAATATATACTTTCTAGGCGACTGAAACTATCATTTCTTTACTGTCCAACCACAACCACTAGCTTATAATATGATCCGAGAGGAACTGGCACTAGTAAAACAAAATGGTGCCTGAAAGCCACGGAGAAAAAAAGGATGATCTGGCCTTTTTTTACCCTCCAGATGGGTTTAACTTTCAGTTTTGCTGATTTAATTTAATTTTTTTGAATGCTCCGAGTTGATCCGAGTCCAATTTTATTTTAGTTTTATTTTTTTATTTGATCTGAGTCGGTCCGAGTCGATCCGAGTTGATCCGACCCGGACTGGTGGTCCGAGTTGATCCGGTCCGACTTTTGTACCTGCCTGTTAATAACCAATCGCGAGGTCTATACCAAGTTCTTATTTTGCCTATTTTGGGATGAAAGAATGATTTAATTTTAAAATCTTCCGAAAAATCATGTATAGGACAAGGTTTGCATGATGTTGGTGTATATGAAAACATAATTTTCAGTAGAATTTAAGTTGTTTTATTAATTTATTGTAATAGACAATCAATTCTTCAAGCCTTCAGGACAAAATAGCAAAGAGAAGAGAAGCCAAGAGAAAGGTACAGTACACTTTCAGTTAATTAGTGTACCTTTGTAAGTCCTAACATGCTTGGATGCTGCTTCATTTTTATACTATTATAAAGAACAGTGTATCAGTATTACATGTTGTATTAACAGTTCCTTAAAGAAAAGAATAATTACACCTTGATTGATTAAGCACCATCCTTTACATTCCAGCACTTTAATCAATGTTTTAATAAACTGTTACATTTGGAAGTTCAAAACATTCAATTTTTTTTATTACTTTTGTAGAAGAAATCTAACAAGGAACTTGAAGAGACTCAAGATGAGGAAGAAGAAAACAATAAAACAAATGGCGACAGTGTTGTATCAGGCAGCGAAGTAAAAGATGAAAGTATGGAGACTAATGGTAAGTTCTAAACTTCATTGATAGTTCATTTTACTCAGGCTCACTTTTACTTAAATTGGTTTTCATGAATTGTGTATGAAATCCTTTTAATTCTGTTCTTGTAACCCAGCAGCAATTTTATACTCATGAGCAGCTAGGAATGTATATATGATATATATTTTTTTCTTTGGGGGGGGGGGGATGTCCATGCATGTATTTCCCCACCTCACCCCTCTGGGAATCTCAGTTGAGACCCCTTCCCCTTGAAATTTTCAAAAATGGAACCATACATGTACATGTATGTAGTTGAGTGAAAATATGCATATCATGCCGTGTTTGAGTTGTCACAGGTTTTTTGTTTTTGTGTTTTTTAATGTTTTAAATCATTTCACAGTTGTAGGCCCTAACCAATCTTCAGATGAGGAGGAAAATAGCAGTTCAGATGATGATGAAATCAATGACAAGGTACATTCATGCGTGTACATGTAACTTGTATGAGTTGTTTCTCCTTCAGTGAAGACGCTGTAGACATAACATAAGGAAAAACTGAAAATAAAAGAAATCTCTTTAACCCATTCGCTCCTGGAAATTTTGCCGAAAAACGCGTTTTGAAGCTAGTCGAGTGGTTTTCTGGTCACTGTCGTGCTATAAAGGGCTAAAACTTACCACAAACTGGTTTACAGGTCGTACACTTGGCGGCCTTCTGATCCAGCTGCAAAACATCAGCTTGCAAAGTTCGGGCATGCGCAGAAAGCAAAATTCATGTCAAAAATCAATGTCATGTAGTTTTTTGCTTCTTTTGCTGGTGTCCTTGACTGAATTGTGCTCATTCTAGTATGGTTTGAAAGATCTCTTCACTCTGCACAAGTTAGCGAAGAAAGTTGTCCTTGACCGTTAAAACTGATGACGTCACAAAGGGTAGAAAGGACCTGGATCCGCACGGGCGGTTACGGGCGGTTCAGGGGCGAATGGGTTAAATGAAGGCGAAGTACCCACAACTTGAAAATTCTGCTACATTACTAGATTAAATTCCTTTTTTCGGTCTGTCAATACAACTTCTCAAAGGAATTCTTATACATGTAGATGTATGTGTTACAGGTCAATTCTCAATAATTTCCTTTGTTTCCTTAAGCACTAGGGATAGGAGACTACAGCAACTGCGTAGCGCGCGATGTGATTTGCATCTCATGAGAGGGTGGTAACTTACTTTTGTACGGTACTGTAGGTTAAAAAAATTTTACCTGAAATCAAATTTGACCTTTAACATTATGCCTTAGTTGATGCTTAAGTGACAAAAAGAAGAGAGAAAGGCTGAATGTTCCTTTTCCAAACCATCTATTTAAACATACTTTAGTTATTAGAGGAGACTGGTTATGAAAGACAACAAACATCAAATATAAAACAACAGCGCTGCATTTTATGTTGAAAGCTCACTCAAAATTCTGGGAATGCTACTGAACATTGTGCACCTGAGGTCCTCAAGAACATATATAACGAAGGAGTCTGACGAGTTCATAACCATCCCAATCTATTAACCATGATTTAACTTTAATACAGATAAAAGAAAAGAAGAGGAAATTTTTCGAGGAACCTCCTCCTCAGGTGATGCATCAAACATTCACAACTTTGAACTTATCAAGACCTCTACTCAAGGTAAACAGTACAAACATTATATGTATATACAGTACTGATTGCATAACACAGGATTTGACATGCCGAAATATTATTGTGATTCTCTGATTGCCAATGGATTGATTCCTAAACGGCTGACTGAATTAATTAATGGTTAATTCAAGACTATTCATTGATAATCACAGTAACTTAGTACATATAGTTACATGTACCTCACAAGATTTTTGTAGAGTACATTTATCACACTGTGTTCTCTTATAAACTGGGTCTTGGGGTAAAGGTTGATCAACATTTCTGTACACTGTATAAAGTTCCAGTTCCAGTGTACATATTCCTTTGCCAAAAAATTGTCTTAACTCTAGGTTAAACATTAACCATCTTTTGATGAATGGGGCCTTGGACAGTACCGTGTAGCCTTTTTCAGAGCAGCAGGAGGATAAGACAAATTTCCTTTTTTTACCCTGTTGTCCTGTTTGTACCATCACTGTCTGAGCACTTTAGCAGGCGATCTTTAATAGTTTGAAGAACTACCCCCTAATCCTTCGAAAATAAAATTCCAATTTAGCTTCAGTTTTTTCTTCTGGCATTTGCTTGTAGATCCCCCCTATTCTTCAGAACATTATTCTAATGAGCCTCCGTGGGTCTTCTGACAGGGGATAATAATTATTTAATTTATGGAACCATACATCTTTAAAATTTAAATGTAAACTTGCATTAATTTTACTTACTTTAATTTAAGGCAATAAATGGCTTGGGTTTCAGCCATCCCACTCCAATCCAGGCATCCACTGTTCCTGTTGCTCTAATGGGTAAAGACATCTGTGCATGTGCTGCTACAGGAACAGGTTTGTACCGGGTAAAAAATTTAATCAAATAAATTTAGAAAACATTAATTCATTTCCACTTTTAATGTGTAAATATTGTTAGTGAAGTGTGTCATAATCATACAAAAATATTAAGAATGACTATGATCTGATAATGGCAATTTTAACAATTGTAATGAAAAGTTAATGATACATATGGCAAAAAGCAGGCACGTGTGTTTGAAGGTTCCGTAGATCGTAACAAGAAAGTAGACAAACTGATGGTTACTTGAATGGTGGCTCTAATAAGGGGCGTGCTCAAAGAAGGTTAAAGAAATAATAACTAGACATCAACATGAAACAAAGAGTCAGTTGTTTTTACTGTTAATGAAAGTCATTTTGCCATTTTATTTTTTAAAGAAGCCCTCTATTAAGTTCCCTGCATTGAACCCAGAGTTTGTTGATATATATACATTTGCACTTTTTAGAGGTGGCCATATCACTTTAATGTACATGTACATGCTGCAAATAGCATTGTCATTGCTTCCTGTGAAGTGTAAATTTAATTGACTTATCTCAAGTTTGTACATAAACACCATCATTACTTGGAAACCTTTTTGTACAATGTAGGCAAGACAGCTGCATACATGTTACCAATATTGGAAAGACTTATTTATCGACCACAGCAGACTTCAGTAACAAGAGTCCTCATTCTTACTCCCACAAGAGAACTTGCCATTCAGGTATGTTATTAAGGGAGTAAACGTAACACATTGTATGTATTACAGTAAAGTTCATTTTCATCCAGGCATTATGAAACATATGATATTAAACAAAGACATCTCACAAACTCTGTAGTTAATTAATATTATTCGTGTTTTTTTTTGTTTGTTTTTGTTTGTTTTTTTCACGCTTTTTTCAGTCTTTGAAAATTTATGTATTGCTCTCAACGTGAATGATTGTACGTGCAGGACTATAAATAAGGGCCTGGGGCAGGGGATTTTCCCTGGCTACTATGAGCATGACCCCTGGCTATTTTCTTAGGAGACAAAAGAAAGATGAGACCAAAAGATCTCCCTGGCTGTTCAGTTCTCCACCTACAAGCTGTATATACCCGGAAAATTATTAGCTTAGGCTGATTTCAACAATTCAACAAACTGCACATTGCTTTTACATGTTCTTTGACTCCCTTGCCTTAATAAACTGTTGTATAGAGTGCATACAGTATACAGTACCACTCAAAAGTAAGTTACCAGTCGTTTCCTGCGCGACGCTAAGCGATTCGAGAATAATTGAAGCGGCAATTTTTGGCATAAATTATTGACGACACATCCAGCCAGAGACCGACTTCAAATTTCACGTGGCATTACAAAGACTGAGGAAAACGGGCGTTAGATTTTGTGATAAGTTGTCTTTCAAGAAGATTTCTTAGCTTGTCATTAGCGCACTGTTTGATTGGAGTTTCTGAGTTTTCGGATTTGTTAGCGATTGACATTTGACACTGCATTTGATCATGTCGTTTGGTTCGCTGAAACGTGACAACCACTCCTAGTTTCCTTAATTTATTGAATGAACAAATCAATGTGAGAATTCATGTAAATTGTCAACAGTTTATAACACTATAAATCCAATTTTGATATTAAGCATGTTTATTTGTTTAAGGTTCACTCAGTGGCTAAAACATTGTGTAAGCACACAAATATTCAAGTCTGTCTAGCAACTGGTTAGTATTTACGGAGTACTGTTACCTATTTTGCCTTGAATTACCACTCATGCTTTAGCATTCTCATCTCTTAAATAATGCACTCTTCACAGTTGTATTAACATTTACACTGTAGTACACATCTACAATTGTACACCGTTCTGAGGAAAAACTTACTTTAAATGTTATGTCAAAAGTTACTCTTCTACAGCAAAACATACATAAGTCTTTCAAAGATCTCTGTACTGCCTAAGAGTTTAAAACTTTAGGTACGGGTACAGATATCAGTGGAGAGTGCTGACTTGACATTCAATCATTGAGAATAATAGGTTGTGTCTTCTTCTCCTTCTTTAACAGCAATAAAGAGATCTGAGGTTCCCCCGTGTCTGTCTCTTAGTAAGGACGGCATGTAAAAAAAGGAAAATAATTATGCAGAGTAGACATTCTTTTTTCCCATTCTTCTTTCCAAAATAACTGCATTTATTTCATTCATTACTATCAATTGACTTGTAAAATGACTCTTCTCGAGACGAATTTTGTACCACTTTGTAGGTGGCCTTGATAGTAAGACTCAAGAAGCAGCGCTGCGTAAAGGACCTGATATTGTTATTGCCACCCCAGGAAGACTTGTTGATCATCTGCATAATACACCATCATTCAGTCTGCAGACTGTAGAGATTATTGTCCTTGATGAAGCTGACAGGTGTAGTAAAACATTGTAACTCTGTTCGAAAATTTATCATGCTAATATATACAGTCGAAGCTCCTTCATGTGCGACCACCTCTCGTAAGCGACCACCTCCCATAAGCTACCGCCAATCCAAAACACCAAAATTTTCCCAGTCAAAGCGTTACAGCTGGAACCTCTAGTGAACGGCCACCTCCTGTAAGCGACCGCGACCACTTTTGGGCCTGACGGTTAATGATTTTGCATTGTTTTTAACCTCTTGTAAGCGACCTTTTGACGCATTCTCTGATCTCTATTTTCGCTGTGTGTATGTTACAGTACTTAGAATATACGAACAACTTTTATACTGACAACATGGAACTACACATACATGTATCCTAACTTAGACATTGCATGCAATAAGTTATCTTCCGTAAAGTAGATGTGCCCGGATCTCTTCTCGGAAGAGACAACCCTGTAGTCCGATTCGTGTAAGCGACCACCTCTCGCAAGCGACTACTTAGTCTTTGCATTTTGGTTGGTAACTTAAAGGAGTTTCGACTGTATTTTTTCAGTCAAAACCACTCTACATGTACGTGTAAATGACATTTTAAGTGGGTATCTAGACTTTCTCAAAGTCGTTCGCTTGGTTTTCTGGTCTGGTGTGGTAGGACCCGAGCTTTCGCTCGCTCGCGCTTCGCGCTCGCTCGCTCGCGCTCCGCGCTCGTACGATCGCGCTTCGCGCTCACAGTCGCGCTACGCGCTCAAAAGCTCGACTTGTGAGCAAGTCTAGTGGGTATCATAATTACTGTTACTTTTCAATAATAATTTTTAAACCACATGTGAAGGCCAGTGGTGATGTCTTCCTAAGTTAAAGTTGTCAATACGAATAAATTAAAGGACTCTAATCTTTATCCCACTCACCCTGAGATTTAGGCAGTGCATCACCTCAAGCCATCCTTTATAGCCACTTCCGCTTGAAGGCACAAAATAGAGATTGATTAAAAATGCAGGCTAGCCCAGCCTAAATAACTCATCTTTTACTGATCTCATATGAACTTCATTTGTGTACAGCTGTAGGTGTAGAAATGTAGTAAGCTGAATCGCTGTGACACCAAGTGTTCGCCATTGTTTCTTGACAAAACGCACAATTTGTTACATAGTGTGATATTGCTGAGTACTTTAACAGTCTAACATGGAAATGTGTACCTTTACTAAATTTTTAGAATGCTGGACGAGAACTTCAAGGACCAAATGGAAGAGATTGTTAAGCTCAGTCCAAGGGGAAGACAAACTATGCTGTTCTCGGCAACAATGACAGATGAGGTACCTGTACGCTGTAAGAACGTTTACGCGTGAGATAATACTTAGCTTAAACGTTTGTTTCATGTTATTGTCTCTTTTGCTATGCACTGTGGTGTTTATGAACTCTTTGTCCGTCTTAACTGGTGGTATGTTACAGATGTAACTTGCAATGTATAACTTTGGCAGTCGAAGATTTTTTAGATCGTCTATTGTAGCTAGTGGAGCGAAAAAAAAAACGCGTGATGTTGTGGCAAAAAAGTAATCCCCCATTCCAGTACACATTTCTGATCTGTATCGAGTAAGAAGACAAAACTGTACACGGATGGGGATTTAATAGCCATGCCTGTACAAATACGCTAGTTTAAGAAACTTTACAAACGTTGTATGACTATCGGACAATGTACAATGTATAGTCCGTCTTGGTACACGCGTCTTTGACAGTTCACGAACAAGGTGACTCGTAACTTTGCTACAGTTAGATGTATCTCACATTAGAGATTTTGAGGTGTTCGTAGTATCGAGTAGTAGTACATGCGCAAGTGTACATATACATCTAAGTGGCGTTGGACGAGAACCAAGTCAGTGGATCTCGTTTAAATCTCTGAGAGAGGTTTACTTTTTGCGTTGTTTGCAGGTTGAAGAGCTTGTCACTCTGTCGCTGAATCAGCCAGTCAGACTTTTTGTGGATAATAACACCGATGTAGCTCATAACTTGAGACAGGAGTTTGTAAGAATAAGAAGTAACAGAGAAAATGATAGACTGGCTATAGTGACAGGTGTGTAACGCCCCTCTACTTTTTGTTTCCGTGACATATATGTTATTTTTTTCAAACTGATGCGGAAAGACTTTGCTGTGAAACGATTTTGATAATATGTAGCGAAATGACTTTGCAGCGAAACAACCGGTTTCCCATGTTTAAGTGCAGTACAACGCTATCCAGACTTGCAACCAACAACATACATGTGTCAGTTTGGTTGTTACTAGGGAGTTAAAGATACCGCGACTACGGACTACGACTACGGTTAAACATCCTACTGCGCATGATCAAAACCACGTGACTGTTTGTTTTTCCCGCGTAGTCCTGCGGCTACGGTGAGTTGTGGAGCTGTTTCGCGTAGTCGGGACTACGGAGAACATTTTGCTCGTATTTTGCCGTCTCGGTAATTCAAGAATCTCGTCTTTTCGTAAGAAAGTTTTCAATTCACCTGCTTTAAGCGAGGGGGAAGCGAATTTTGTAAGTTGTGCCTAATTTCTGCTCAGATTTACGCTTTTAATCCACCGTTGTGACTACATTTTTATCTAGCTAAGCTCATATTTAAAGGAGCTTAGCTGTTTATACGCAGAATTCAGATTGATGGCCGAGGAGGAGAGAAATCATGCAGGTAATTTACTTTCTCTTCGCACTTGAAAAGTTTTCATGTTTGTTCGAACTGATTAGTGTGTCTTTCTACTTGTGTGACCTTTGTTTATGTGAGTTTTTGTAGTCGCATTTGCTCAATGAAAATGATGTAAACATCTTCGAGACAATCGAAACTCGGCATTTCAATACTTCAAACTACATCAGATCAGTAGTCGGAGAAGTCCATCTTCTAAATCTAATAAATGAGCTACATGTATTACTATTTCTGTCTAATTTCTTTAATATTTTACATAAGTATTCATGGGCGAAAAAAATAAAACCTGTGCAACCAAAACTTTGTTTATCAATTTCACCCGAGCTCGAATCAACTTGTACGCAAATCGACTTGTACGTAATTGCTTCCTTCAAGTATGGGAGAATTTGTTCATTGTTCTTAAGATAAGATCACATGCAAAACTGACTTGCATTTTTGTGAACTGTGATGAAAACAAGAAAATCTTTGCGTGTTGTTTCCCTCTCCGCCTCTTCTCTCGTAGTCTACCGTCTGTAGTGCAATCTTAACGTTCTATATTTGCACGACTCAACCCAGTGCTACAAACAAACGACAACGCTCGCCCAGCTGTAGTTCGTAGTCCGTATTCTCCGTATCTTAAACTCCCTACTGTGTGGATTGGGTCCGGTGGGATTGGAGTCAAACTACCTAAACTAGATCCCTTTCATAATCTCTTTGAAAAACATCGCATTGCAAAGGGGAAAGGGTTATGAGTTACAATGTACAGTCAAAACGAGCTCCTTTTTGATATGTGTACTCTGTTCATGAAACTCTCTTTACAAAATTTACTATAAACTAATACTTTCTGACTTGCTGAAATTGTTGGATATTTTTCTTATTTGCAGCGCTGTGCAGTAGAACCTTCAATGAGCATTGTTTAATTTTCCTACAAACCAAGGCGTCAGCTCACAAGCTACGAATCATCCTAGGACTGCTGGGCTTAAGTGTTGAAGAACTGCATGGGAACTTAACGCAGCTGCAGGTTAAGCTTCAATATCAGTTTTTTTTTAAAATTCCAGGTAATCGTCCCAATCGCTTGGACATTGTTTGAGGCGACTGGGGCTATCGGGCGTTTTCAAACTGGAAAAAGATTATAACGTTACAGTAGGGTACCTGAACGTGCGCTCATTCGCTAACCATTAATTAATATGAGGCTAAACTTCAATGAAAACTGTAAAAGCAAAGCTTCTGTGGAAATCAAGGCTGGCTTCAAATAAAGCATTGGTCTCGAAGAGGTAACTTTATACAGTATAGCTATATACGAAAGTTCTACGGAGTATTTTTGGGTTCTTCGAGATTTTATTCACAGAGTCAAACTTCATAGTTACCTTGCAGTCAAAGCCAGTGAAAGAAAAAAAACACGCACACACACACATAGAAGAGTAGAATTCAGTGCAATTGCACGATCAGCTGCCCGAGGACGTTACGAACTTAACATGCAAATTGTATCTTGAGATAGAGTCGGTCGTTAAATACACAACATTACAATTTTATCCCTTAGCTTTCTTTGAAATAGAAACACCCGGTGGACAAGTCGATACTAAAGCAGGCTACAATAATGTGCTATTATTTTAGTATGATTTAATGGACAACAGCTCTTGCGAATTCCGTTAGTTGACTAACTCCCACACTTACAACTAAATCAACTGAGTGACAGTACATTGCAGGAGATAATCTTATTGGCACTCTCTTTGTGATGTCATTTGTTTTAGAGATTGGAGGCTCTCAGGAAATTCAAGGAAGGCGAAGTTGATATTCTTGTAGCTACTGACTTAGCTTCTCGAGGTCTGGACATACTTGGTGTGAAAACAGTGAGTACCGTGTCCTTCTCTGGTTTTTCCTGCGACAAAACTGCAATTGTAAACAGTTCTTGCTGTACAGCCTGCGTAGCAAGTGTTTCGGTTTTGGGCTCGCGAAAAATCGTTCCTCGTTATTTACCCCGAAACCGCACGGAAACGCTCACCACGCAGGCTACTTGCTGTGTTATGAATTGTATCTACCACCACAACCATACAGGTTTTGCATGTACGTACAGTGTAACTGTAAACCTTGAATCTCAATCCTATGTACACATGTAGCTTTTCCGAGTGTTAACCAGAGGTTTGTGGTCAAATGTGAAAGTGCAGCCCATGTTAGAGGCTCGTGCCTTTTCACACATCCTGCAGACACGGAGACCCCTGCCTTCTCCAGTTCTCCCTTTTAGATCGTAGTTGATATCCTGCCTTCTCAGGGATTCTTCACTTTCCGTAGGAAGAACGCGCGGCGAACCTATGCCCTGGAGGCTATGGAGACCAAGAATTTCGTACACGCAAGAACAGTGTTGCAAATTTTAAGATGTTCGCACACCCAAGTATTGCCGCGCGGCCTTCTTCTAAATAAATGAAAAAGATCCTTTTTGTGTTGACAGGTTATTAATGCCAATCTTCCACCGACAATGAAGCAGTATATTCACAGAGTAGGAAGGACAGCTCGTGCGGGGCGCAGTGGAAGGTATGTTTGAGCTTCAAGTTAATAATAATAATAATGATAATGATGACGATGACAATGATGATGATGAAATTGAAACACAGTTCTGATTGATTGAAGCAAGTTTTCCTCGCGACACCACTAATCAGAAGCGCTAGCCAGATCTGGGCAGTTACTGGTCATCAGTATGGAATTTCTTCAGTCGTTGCTCAGACGTCATTTCGCGGGGAAACCAGTGGTGGGGTCGCTAAACTTGAATGCCGGCTGCTTTCTCAGATTAAACATGTGAAGTGTCCTGTGCCCACATTACAATGTTGTCTGTTGGAGCCTCTTAGGACTAGAGTTAACACGTATTACTTACCTTTAAGCCCCGTGCAAGTGGACTCAACATTGTTGGCCAACAACTCCCAACATTGTTAGATGCTACATGTTGCGTCCGTTTGCACACCCCTTTGCCATGTTGTTGCGTGTTGTTAGGAGTTGTCGGGCAAAGTTTGAAACCGGTCAGACTTTTAGCTACGTGCAAACGGACGCATCAACTCCCAACATTGTTGGCCGAGTTGTCGCGTCCGTTTGCACGTAGCTTCAGTTAACTTTTCTTTGGCTGTTTGTAGGTCTGTCTCCTTGGTGGGTGAGAAGGAAAGGGGGCTTCTTAAAGAGATTGTGAAATTAGCAAAAACACCAGTGAAGAGCAGAATAGTTCCTTCAGGTGAGAGTCATATCTGTTTTGTACAAGCTTCATAACGTGTATACTTGAAAGAGACTTTTGGTTATCGCGCGAATCTCTCGATTAAGCTCAATAGTTTCACGTGACCTTCGAATACTCGCTAATAGGGGCGACGACTGTAATACCTAGGAGAAATAATAAACAAAGGTTATGCAAAGTTTTTTAGGGGCAGACAAGGTGTATTATGGGAGATGTGCAAATGGCGAATGGCAAGCCGCTTGGTTACGATACGATACTTTATTTAACGTGGTTGCCAAGAATAATGCAGAAATAGTTTGTGCCTACAAAATGCAGAGTTGTTATGTTCTTATTTCTTTTTCCAGAGGTTATCGGCAAATACAGGGATAAGATTCAAGGACTTGACAAAGACTTGAAAGAAATTTTAAAACAGGAAAGCGAAGAAAAAGAGGTAAAATAAACACGCGCGTATGCAGCTTAGCAGCCATTCATGAATGCAGTAGAACCCATACTGTATTACTGTCTACTACACCAGCAAATTTTGATATAGGTTTATTCAGCTGGCCCCGGTTGTTCGAACGCTGGATAGCGCTATCCTCCGGATAAATCGCTATCCATCGTATGAGTATTAGGAAAACCAATTGCGTTATCCTCCTTTCAAACAAATGGGCCCTTGCGTGCGCACTACCACAAATTTCACATGGAGTTCTAATTCGTTCCCTCTTGGCCAGTAATGAATTTGAAGTGGGAATGTCGATGCTATTAATTCACTTTACTTTATTTCATTTTGTATCAGCTAAGAGTTTCGGAGATGGAAATGAATAAGGCACGAAACCTTCTTGAACACGAAGAAGAGATCTTCTCCAGGCCTGCAAGAACATGGTTTCAGAACAAAGCGGATCTTAAAAGGAAATCAGGTGAGGTTCAGACTTTTGTCGACATGTATGGTTTCGACTTTGCTTAAGTCTGTTGGCTTTCACGTTCATTTTGTCGTTGTTTTGACAGATAAAACCACGAACGGACCGTCCAGCAAAAAATCAAAGATCGAAAAGAAGAAAGGAAAAAACTTCGGCAATGAAAAGGAAAATGTAAGCTGGTTCATTAATTTTTGTTTTGTTATATTGTTATTGTTTTCGTTTTGTTTTGTTTGTTTGCTTGTTCGTGTGTTTGTGTTTTTTTTCTGCATGTTATTTTTATCCATGCACGCAGCTTAATGACTTTCCCTAGAACCATCGTAAAAGCTTACCTTGATTGATTGCTTTAGGAATAAGCGCCGACGGCGTGGGGCGGACAAGTGAACTATTTCTCAACTTTTTCGAGCGGACTAAGGAGTTAATTTGCTCACAGATGCAGTCATCATTATTTTTAGAACGTCTAGATTTCAATGTGCAGAAATCATTCTGGGATTGTGAATCACATTCGCGGACATTTGAGCTATCCCAATTAGAGGCCCTGTTAGGGTAAAATTCCAGCAAGCAATATGGCCTTGAAATAGTGACATAGGACAGTAGAAATGGCGACAAACGACACAAAGATGGGTTGAAACTGTGACAGCAACAAAAGCGCAAATATAATAGTAAAACATACCAACAGCGACATAGTTTCCTCTTCGATACGCGAAACGACAGGTTTTAAAAGTCAGACGAGGGACACACGTAACCCCCCCCCAAGAGGTCCTGAATTTACCCATCTCACCTTTCCTGTCTGCCATGCAGTGGCATTGGCGGATCCAGACCTTCAGATAAGGAGGGGGGGGGGGGGGAGGTGGTCATCCAGACCCTGAGATAAGGGGGGGGGGTGTCTTAATTTCTTTTTTCTGCCCTTCAAGCCTCAGTTTGGTCTAAAAATAAGGAGAGGGAGGACCGGGCCCCCCGGGGCCCTCCCCTGGATCCGCCACTGAGTGAGACCGGGTCGGGGTTGTTGTTCCAGTTTCGAGTGTGAATACTTGGCTCAGTTTCCAAGGCCCAGGGGAATAAAACAAAAGGTATGAATTGTTAATCCCTCTGAGACTTCTTTGGTATGAATTTAATTCGAAACTTGTCACCAATTTCGTTATATTAGAATCCACACTTGGCTCCGAGGCTTGGGGGAATAGAACAAAAGAAATGTATTATTCATCACTGATTTTTTAAATGATTTCTTTTGTTTTATTCCCCCAAGTCTCGGTGCTAAGTCTGAATTTTAATATATCGAAATTAGTCTATTGCACTATGCGGCCGAGACGAGAATTTCTTCCCCCAAAACAGCCCTAGGACCGTGACATCGACACAATACAGACCCACTCTAATACGCACATATGCAACCTCAATATTGCTGATAATTTTTAACGCTCTGGCCTCTTCATTATAATTTAAGTAAATTATTCTCTCAATTCTACTAACTACCTTTCCTTACGAAATATATATATATATATTTTTTTATTAGGAAGAGGATAAAAAAGCGAGAAAGGAGATGGAATTTATCGCAAGAGAAGTCAAGAGATCAAAGAGGAAGAAGCGATTACATGCCTTCCCGCCAGATAGACCCGACTTGGACAGAAAAGGTTTCATTGTGCTTGTTAGGTTTCATTGTGCTTTGTTATTGTAAGATGGCGTGAAAAATAAAAGATAATTAAGAATAAAAATAAATAAAAAGTACAATTCATTTTACACATTAAGTTCAGTGAGCGAAAGTCAAAATTTATTTTATAAAACATTTCACTTTTCATTTTTTTGGAACCAAACCGTTTTTACAAACAAACAAATAGCATCATGCGAAAATGCCACTGAATAATTATAAGATTTCCCCTTAATGAGAAGAAATCGACCTTTTTTCCTGCAAGTTTCTACTTTTCTATAGGCCACATGATTTTATCTGCAGGTACGAACGTTTCTGGCAGCAAGTCGAAGTGACTTCGGAAGCCAGGATTAGTGTGCATCTTACCACTTATTTTTTTCTTGTACGACACGTCACTGCTCAAGTACTGTTCTTGTTGAGATTGAGAGTATGATTTTTCTTCGCAGGAAAAACGAAAGGTGTTGATGGTGCTGCCGGTTCACGCTTAAAGGCCTTCGACAAGGAACTGACCGACACGAGTAAAAAGGCGTTAAAATCTTTTAGACAGAGGTTAGTTGTTTACGATAGTGCTGTAGGTAAAATAACCCACGTTACTTATACTGTGAAAGATTTATAAGGAATATCTAGAGAATAGAGCCAAGTGTCTGTATTATATAGAGAGAGGGATTGTGTGAAGCATGGGCTTCTTTTGGACTAATAAATATCATGTATTATGGAGGAAGGGATTATATTGTGGATCAGAAGAACTGACCGCTGTAGAGAAGTGTCCGTATTGAAGAATTAGGGATTGTTGTACATGTATGAAGTGTGGTATTTTTGGGACCAAAAGAACTGTCCCTTATAGGGATGAGTCCGTATTAACGAATTAGGGATCGTGCGATCTTTGGTATCTCTGGAAAAAAAATAACTCAGTGGTCGCATTACAGAAGTGTCCGTATTATGGAGGTAGGGATTGTGTGAAGTTTGGTATCTTTGGGGCCAACAGAACTGTCTGTATTATAGAGTCGTCTGTATTGTGGAAGTAGAGAGTTATGAAGTTTGGTATCTTTGGGATTAAGAAAACTGTTCGTATTACAGAGGTGTTTGTATTAAAGTTGTAGGGATACGAGAAAAAGAAGAAATAAGCAGTCGTGGGTGAAGTAGCGAACTTAATTTTTTGATCCAGAAACTAAAAGTTACTTTGTGGGCCTGCTATAAAAAGCGTTTCACTTGCTCCAGGTGTAAAAGCAAGTCTATTTTGAACTTCTCAAACACGTTTGGACCATTTGTTGTGATTCGGCGTGATAAGGAATCTCGCCTGCAACGAAAAGTTGTTGCAATTGCTGGCCCCAACTAGGAATGGGTTCATTGTTGCAATTTGTCAAAAAGGCAAAGCCAAAGATCTGGAAGTCGTTGGCTTTAACTAAGAGTGCATTAAAAGAATTCATTTTGATCTGCAGCTCCAGACCCGACGATTCAAAGAAATTCAAGAAAAATTCAAGTAGATTTAAGTCGAAAAAAAGGTAAGTTTTGTATGTCCTCGCTATAACGAACGTTTTTGTTGTTGTTGTTGTTTGTTTGTTTTTGTTTTTTACCTCAGTAATAGTAAAATATATGAAAAAGAACCTCGATATAACGAAACCTCGTTATAATGAACAAAATGTTCTCAGTCCCTTGGCCCTTTGTTATATCGAGGTTCCACTGTAGCTGGGCGGTCCCCATTGGACCCACTGTTACATTTTTTTTTCTGAAGATGGTTAGGTGAATTAAAGGTTACTAATCCGTCTCCATCTCTCTAGGTACAAGAGAAGATGACTCAAAGGACAGAAATGATTTTTACTGAAGGCAGGAACTTCACAATTTCTTTACACCAATCGCTTGCATATTAATGCACGGCGTGAATGGCCGAGGATACGTTAGAAGTGGAAGAGTTACGAGAAAAGAAAAGGCATTCACGAGTTAAAACGTTTACAAAAAATTCAGCAAGTTTACATTGTACCTCCAGATGGAAATTCCTGATCGAAATAAGTGTAAGTCAGTACACCTTACTTGTTCATTTTTCCGTGCTGGCAAGCACTTTTAGTGACTTTCAGGCCAGGAAGAAATCTGCCTTACATAAATTCAGTTCGTTTCTTATTTCAGTTGGTAAAATACTTCTGTACTTAGTACCGCGTAATAAAGGAGCGAGACCATAAACCGTGATATTCTAATAAAGAACATATAATTTATTTTAATATAATCATGTTATTTATTTAGTGCTTGTCAGTAGTTTGTTTATGTTATTATTACTTTTTCTTAATATTTGTATGTGCTTGTCTCTTCAGCCCGGAAAGCTTTACGGCAATTTTAAATAGCATGCATAGAAGCCGCCGGCAGCGTTTTCCCTGATATGAATGACGTGTCATTCTGATCGGTGAATTGCTTGCATTTTCAAGATTCATTTAAAAGCGCTGCAAGGAGTCAATACACTAGCAGAATGCGAGGTCGTCATTTTTAGGTCAATTGTTAAATTGGCACTCAGAGCCCGCACTTCCCCTGCCCAGCGGACAGCAGCTCAGTCATAAGAAGTGCTTTAATTACGGGCTGATCTCCATAGCGACCATCTGCTGGACAGGAAAACGAGAAATCTGGGTGCTAAGGATGATGGAAAAAATTATAGTCCTATTTTTTGACATTATTAGAATAGCCAACAACAGCCCGCGTTTCCACTTGTAGAGCTGCCGTCATCTGCTTTCTTTTGATCTTCTTTTTTCTCAGCTTCTTTCTCTGCCCGTCTCTCAGCTTCTCTACTTTCTGCGTCCACCTTGATCTCTTGCACTCTCCTTGACTGCGCCACAGAGAAGAACAATCCCAGTTCTTCCTTCTGTATCCCGTCATCTCCATCGCGGTCAGCAAATTTCATGATCATGTCGCGCTGGTCACTGATGGTTTTCATGTCTGGTGGCTCCTAACAAATAAAAAGACAACCCCTTGATGCTACCAAACAATGACCATAAAAAAAAATGGTTGTAATATCGGGGAAATCATGTAAACGGGGTGATTGTAAGGTAGGGTTTCCTTGTAAAATCAACAGGGAATGCTTTTCGAGTAACGTGGGCTGAGTAAGCACTAAACTGAAATGCATTGTCCGAGAGACACTTTACAGTAGGCTGATACCGCAGACGTATTTCGGGTCGTCGCTGCTATCCCTCTTTTCCGGAGGGAGAGAAGCGACGACCGGAAATACGTCTGCGGTCGCATCAGTCTACTTTACAGCAACTAGGCAAACCTTGCCGTGTTTCGCCAATTTTTCTTTACCATTAAGTTGCCTCAGAACTTGTTGTTGTTGTTGTTGTTTAATACTAGTTAGTTTGTTTTTGTTTTTGTTTATTTGTTCGTTTTTAGGTTAGCCGTAAATTTTATACAGTTTATATCCATCAACCTCAAACACCGGCATTAACCTAATTTGTAGTATTTGATTTCAGGGAAAAATTTAACCACAAGTATCAATGTCCATTTTTTTTTTATCTTATGGAAATAACCGAGAACCAGAAAACCAAGAAAACGGCTTCCCCAGCACTATTAATACATGGTGGGGGTATTTGGATACATACACTGTTATTCTTGATGTACAAGTCTCGTATCAGAGCATCAAGCTCCGCACCCCCAATTATTCCATTGTGATCCTGTATAGGTAAAAGGGAAGAAATTAAAACTGATTTATGTGATGTAATGTTATGTAATGGTTCCTAAAAGATAGAAAAAAATAATAGCCAAAGAGTCAGCCAAGCGAGGCAGCAACAACATAGGGCTGATGCGTGTGATTCGGTGTGTCATTTATTCAGATGTCTTGAAAAATTTCGACAGCGTAGTAATGATGACCAAGTTCACCCGGGTGCTGATTCTTGTTTCCATAGTTAGTATTCAGCGCTAATACGTGTGATCAACCCGACTATCGTTTGTGTATAACAAACTACACTTCATTATCTTCAAGGCCACGAAAAGGTACTAATTACTTACCTGGTCGTAGTGGTACCAAATTTTCTCAAATTCTTGTCTTGTCAAATTTTTTCGGATCTAGGCAAAGAACATTTTTAAAAAATGTCAGTACAGGAAACTTGGTAGCGGGCAATGGTGTATTTTAGAAAGGCAGCTTATCATCTTACCTGGAATTTTGAGAGGAAATTTTCTTCAACAGGCAATAGTCTATAGATGAGAGTAAAGAAAATGTAGCTTAGAAGAAAATAAGCCCATACGTTGTCGATCTTTAATTATCTCAGTGTGTATGAATCTTTAATACAAACCTCATAAATCATTCACAATACACCCAATGAAACCAAACGCAACAGGGGCAATCTATACTTTTGATTTTGCGGAAAGGGGAGTGGGGAAGGGGGGGGGGGAGATTGAATCTTCAGGAGTAAAGAGTTTCTGTAGGAGGCAAATCTGAGGTGTCTGGGGCAATAATGAATGGAGACGGGGGGGGGGGAGAGATGGAAAGACAAGAAGAACTTCCCTTCAACCGCCCTTGCACGATCAGTAATTACTTGAACTAAACAAACAAAACAGCTGAGACCTACATCCAATAACAATAACGAGATCATGAGAAAATGAAAAAGGAGAATTACAAATGAAAAATGTTTAAACGAATGATTTAGGCGTGTTATACTGATAACTCTGCCTGGAGAGAAGCAGCGTCTTAAGGAAGTGTCTGTCTCGTAGGGAGTAAAAAATTGAAAGGAATGACAAGAGAGCGCTTGACATGGCGGGACCATGAATTCTGCCGTTTTATTGATATGTCTGCCGAAAAAAAAACCTTCCGTTAACAGGGAGTTCCGTGTTGGGCTGGTTTCTTTGTTTTTTAGTTTTGACAATGTACAAACTTCTCCAATGACCAATATAAGACTGACTGAACATACTTAGCCATTTCAGATAGCTCTATTTCCCCATCATCATTCTTGTCAAACGATTCGATCTACAAACAAGGAAAATTACATTTCATTTGTCAGTGGATTTTCAACTAATTGGCCCTCATTATATCCAGTTTATATTCCTTTTACATATAGAGCCAGTGAAAGCCAAAATCAGGGTCGCAGGCTCAGGCCAATTTGCAGGAGGAGTTCAGTTTGCTTCTTGCTTATGACTAAATTTGAATAACCTCACAAAAAAAATTTCAAAAGATCTCACCTGAGCTTCGCTTTTAGATTTGGCTAAATCTCTATATTATCATACTTCAGTGTGTAGATGCACTTGTTCCCGCGATAATGACGTTAATCATTACTTGACCTTCTGAATGACAAGACTTACAGCGTCTTGTTGCGGGAGACCCAGAAGTTTACAAGGCCTGAGGCCATTTTAAAACGTGAGGTAATATCACTTAGCTTTGAGTTCTTAGCAAGTGATTCCTTTCCTTTTATTGAGGTCTCAGCGAGATTTGCAGACATATCAATCGATGTCAGGTATTGAGAGTGGTAAGCGACAGCCTCCAAAGTGCATCCGTTACAAGCCTGCATAGCAGACGCCGATAAGCTTTTAAGCCAAGTTTTTTAATACAGCGCATGCGCGAGTGGAACACGCGAAGAGAAGAGTTAAAGGGAAGAGGAGCTCCCCTCTCCCCGTCTCATCTCGTGGGCGTACGCGTGTCCTCGATATTTCTCCTTGCGCCCTACTTATCCCTACTTAGAATTAAAATTCTCACTGGAATTACAGTATGGCTTTAAGATCATTTCATTTACATCCGAACACGCAAGAGGATATAGCTTTCCTAGACATCTCTAGTTGTTTACCAGGGGGTCATATGATGGGATGCGAGACATATCAGTTTGAAATAATTGGCAAGTTACGTAAAGCAGTTGTCTGGGTGCCCCCACCCATCCCGCCCCACGGGAGGACTTTTCAGTGACAGAGATGGCGATGCTTGTCGACTCATTTAGGGATGTAAATTGCAAATTTTGGTACCATTGAGGGTTTTCAGGACGGAAAGCTAATAATGTTTTTGCCCATAAAAATCATTACCGGTTAGGGTAGGAAGACATAGCAAGAAAATTAATCGCTGTCACAGCGTCCTAAGAAGAACTTGCTCAACTTGATCAACTTTATTCAATTTACATTAAGAGTACACTCAGATCTCATGGTTGCGCAAATTGGTTGCCTGGTTTAGCAAGGTTTTCTACCGGTCAAACAAACCCTAAATCCACGCCCATATTGATCTCCCTTCGTGGTTTCAGACATCTGACAAGAACTTCCACTTTACAGAGAAGTCTCCAGCGTCTAAGGCTATTTTCACACTATAAAGGACACCTTTTGCGCCTGGTACGAAAACCATACTGGACACATAAAACCACATATCACATATAAAAAACGATGATTTCGGCGCGATTTCTGTAACGGAACGAAGCTGCGCCGCACGTCCAAGAGTCAGATATCGGATAGGCGTTCTACTTTACCGGATAGGTTTTCATCACGGCAAGAATACATAGTAAAGTAGTGTGAACATACACAAATAAAACCTTAATCTACTTCATCGAGACACTATTAGATCTTGAAACTTACAGCGCCATTGACGTAATCTTCAATTCTCTGTGGACTGATGTTTGGATTATTAACTGTCAACATATCTTTAAAGAAACCCTGAAAGAAACGGCAAAGAAAAAAGTAATGTATAGATAAAATAATAACTGTTTGCTCATAACTGTTGATTGTAATTGCCTTTTTAGTGAGTCTAATTATATGAGAGCCAAAGGAAAAAAAATCAAGCTTCTTGAAAAAAATGCTCAAGATCCAATTACTGGCAGTAAATGTTCAAACTGACCCTCAGTTGTTTTTTCTCCAAATATCCCTCTCTATAAACATCGTAGTGATTCCAGATCTGAAATGACATAACGGTTAGTATTTTAACGTGTTTAGGCTGGAGCCGATCTCTTGGTTTAGGTCAAAGCGAGTTGACCTTCATCTGCTGGCATTTGTATCCAAGTAATACAACTTCTTCAGTTTCTAAGGAGCGATAAGGAAGTCTACGAGGAGATGGTTGTCTTCTGGCCTGTGGCAACCCTCCGCCCCCTCCCCGGCCCCTCTGTCGCCCCTTTCAATCTCGCGCGTTCAAAGAGGGGGGTGAATAGGCCAACGGACCGGCGGGTTTTGAAAGTATTTTTACTCAAATTTCGGATTCAGAGCAAGCTTTTAACGGATCTGGAGATCCTTCAATTGCAGTGGATTACGGATTCATAACAAACCTGACTCAGACTGACAGTGTGGTCAATTTATTCCAGCTTCTCCAACTGTGCTCCGTTTTACGGTTATTTAAATCTACTTAAAGCTAAACGGAAAGAAAAGATTAGTCGACAGAAAAATTTAAGGTCACATCTGGGAATCGAACTCGGGACCTCTAGCACAGAGGGCGCCGCGCTAACCAACTGTGCTGATCGTTGCTTCTAATCCTTGGATGGAGCGAAAAACCGTTGAAGAGGGGAGCGGGTGAATAGGGGAGTGAAAATCCGCCGATCCGTTATGATTTATCACCCAAATCCTCCGTCAAAATTTTGTTCTCGAACCGAAATCCCGGCAAAAATATTTTATGAAATGCGAAGTCCAAAATCCCACCCCCCAGCCAGATGACTTTTTCCTAGCTACCGATGTACACCTGTAATAAGGTAAAATAATGGCTCTACTCTAACCTTCAAGGACTAGACTAGGAACATCATGATGACTTACGATATCAATGAGCACCTTACCTTCATGAATTCTACGCTAGTGATTCTGGCTTCTTTTTGGAACTGAAGAAGGAAGTTTTCCTCCGTTGGTAGGATCTGCGCCAACTACAAACGTGAAAAAAGATAATCGTATTCCTTCAAAACGTGTTCAGCTTTTAAAAACAACTACATTTGACGACCAATTTACAGATACAAAACAACGTGTTGGTTTTATTCTGTGCATCTCAGAATGATCTTTCCACTGAATTGTCTGCAGATGATAGATGCGAGTTGTTGGTTAGCATTGTCAAAAGCTGTCTTCACACATACCTCATTAATTTCAAGGCGGCCGTCAAAGTTCTTATCGTATCTTTCCAGGATAAGTTCTCTCATCTCCCTAACCTTGTCGTGTGCTAAACCCTGTCGACAGTGAAGACCAATCACGATCAGGAAAGTATCGTACGAATTTATCTCATATCTGTTTCACTGTTGAGGGAACTTCACCCACATAATTACGTCACATTAATAGGACTGCCTCGAAAAACGTACTAACGTATTTGGTTCAGGATCAGAGGATAACAAAAATAGACTTCGAGCAGTCTCTCTTTTATCTTAGTACGTCGAGCGAAACGCGCTACCGCCCTTGTTTCTCGCCGCCTAGGGGCTTCGCCGCTTGAAACTCTCGCGCGCATGCACTCCCCTTATGCAGCTTTAAATCTAAAGAAAAAGAGTGACTGCTTGCATTCTACTTAACAAAAATGGCTTTATCATATTTAAACTGTGTACCGACCGTTCCCAGTTACTACTTTTATAAAATTTATAATTTGTAATTAAAGTAAATTGAAGGATTAAATAACTAAGAGATATTAACATTTACTTGACGCCTTAGGTCCTAAAAAGATATTAAGGAAAGAGATTGCTATTATAAGAATCGATTGATCGACTTCCTCGGTGCCTGAAATCAAAATAAAGTAACAATTCTAAGGAGTGAAATGATGCATGACAGGATCTCAATCGAGTTTGTAACTAACTTCTTGATCAACTTAGATTGGACGAGATACAACTTTATAGTAGAGTTATACCCTACTGAGCTGTTTATTATTACGCTCATCTTATAAACTTCGTAGGAACTCAGTCGATCCACTTTTCAAAATATTTGTGCTACGTGCTCAGTATAAGTTTCTTAATCATGTCATTTTTATACACACCCCGTGATATTATTCCAAATACATGTATCATGTCTGTGGTGTGTGACTGTGACCCCTCAAGAGTAATAATCCCAAATTTCTGTTGTATGAGCCAATGACTCGAACCTAATCTAAGACATGAGTGATAGGGGAGGTCTTCAATTGTTAATGAGATCACATGAAATAATACAAAATTTAAAAACTTACAAAAATCTGTTGATTTCGTAATACTCACGTGGTATCTGGCCTCAAACAGTTCTTGCAAAAAAGGATCAAGTTCCCGCGCTTCTATGTAACCATTACCTTTGAAAGAGTAAATATAATTGTGAGCCTCATTTTGATCTTAGCTCCTTGTTAAGTTAACCGCGAGCGTCAAAATATGAGCCGATGATTTACAGAAATCAAACCTGCGGTAAGGATTTTTTCATGACTAAGATACTTAAGAGTCTATTTAGCAGCAGTGGAAAAAAATCAACTGAGAAATCAAGTCTTTTTTTTTTCTTTTTTTCAATTGTAAGGAAGAAAGCATTAAAAATCAAGAGAAAAATCCGCAAATTATACCGGTACCAGGTGTCATGCAAATTTTGAAACAGCGATTTACTTAGCATTCATCGTATTCAATCATAAATAAAGCAAAATTTTGAGGCTAAGGAGGTCGTTGTTTATAATATCATCCAAATGTCTTCCGATTCCGAATTATTCTATTCTATTTTATTTTTTATGGATTTAGAGCATTTTTTTTCTGGCATTTAAATAAAGTAATATTTTTCCTAGTAAAAAATAGGTTTAATATTTCTCATTTTGACAGATTCATGAACGCGTTTCGCTCGTCTTGACGCAGAGAGCCTACGGGGCATTAAATGGATTTGTTACTTCTGTTCGTCGTTTTGATCTCGCGTTAAATTCAACGAGAAATTGTTTTACATCAAGAAGGAAATGAATCCATGCAGAAATGAGAAAGTCTCTTGGCCCTGCATGAGAGGATTTGCGAATCGAACTCCATTTAGTCGCTTGCAGCTGCTGGAATAACGCTTAATTTATGCAAGATTTTCAGCCAAACAAAAAACTTACCATCTTTGTCGTATTTCCTGAAAACGGCCATAAATTCAGTCGATGTTAACTGAGCTTTGCCGTGAAATTTGGTCACGAAAGGCTTCATCCCGCGAGAAGAGGCCATGTCGTCGACTACGCACCGCTCCCACTATGTTTGACACAGACAGGTCTTTGTGGGTCACTGTAAACATACACCACCACATCAGACCAGCTGACCGCACGAGCAATAGTACCCATGTACGTGAGGCCTAGAAATGAACAAATGATTTGTGTTCGGCGATTTTATTGGCTGATTTCAAGGTGTGAGAAAATTATTGTCAAAAGCTTTTGTCTGTGAATCTTTCTCTTGCTGGTATTAAATATAGCGGAAATTGCTAAGTCAAATTGCGACATCCTAAGCATTTGTCATTACAGCTTCAGCGAAACGCGATCGCTCTTCCTTTAATTTCTGTCACGAGGTGTCTCTGTGTGTCCGCTGTGACTTCCCTCACGTTTGTTGTTGTTGTTGTTTTTCATTTAATATTTTATTTTTATTTGACTGTTTTCAGTCAGCGATGAAGTGAAAATGCCTGAAATAAAATGAAAACGCATCTATTTTATCGACGTAAATTTGTCTGCAAGTGGATTCCACGGTGACTCATAATTTACAGTAATTTATAACGCCAAGCGCCTCAAGTCCATTTGGTATACTCCTAAGGATGTATCGTCTGTCAGCGTCTTGCTTATTTCGTAACAAATGATACCGTTTATTGACCAATATTGCAGAAACAAGTGAAATGAAGTTTATGCACGACAGCTATAATATCATGTATCTTAGTGGATGGCTCGCTCAACATTCTGAAAATCAATGTGCGGTTTGTAGTAGTGCCTTCTCTTTCTGTGGGAGAGTTCTTCCTTCAAGGACGAGTGAGGGTTACCACCCCTTTTCTTTTTCAGTTTACGTCTACTAGTCTCTCTTTTTCTTCGGTTTAGTCAGAGAGGAGTGCACGCGCGAGCTCCTGATTGTGTTAATAAATCTCGTGATATGTCACGCGACCATTTTGCTAAAAATCTTAAATAACTGTCAAATTGGTGGCAGGTTTAAGAAGAGAAATCGAGCGATAAAATATTTCTCATTCATATTAAATATCTCTAACTATTCACAATTGGAATGACCGTCCATAATCAAAACCTTGAATTATTTAAAACTTTTTTAAAATTTTTGATTTTAAAATTTTTAACTTCGCTTACATTCATTCCACAAGTAAAAAGTAAGGTATGTTCATCTTCTAAGACAAAAGCTAATCTATTTATCCAAACAAAGTAAATTCGCCACCAATTCGTCAATTTCCTTCATTTTCAAGGGCGCATAGGTGCAGGAAGACTTCAAGATTTACTTCTGGGGAAAATTTATGTTCTAGGTCTCCTAGCGAGAGATATTTCCATAAATTAGAATATGCTCATATGCTCCGAACACACCTTTGACCCAGGCCTTATGCCCCTTTGAGCAACAATTGACAAGGGCTGATTCATAGTCGATCAACCATGATTTCTTTCCCAAGGCCTTGTTTAATTTGCCCTTGTTGTCTGTCCGACAACTGTAACGCAGCCTCTGGGAAAAAGATTGGATCTAGCCTCCAATTCATGTGCGACCACCTCTCGTACGCACCTAGCCTGCGAATACAGTCGCGAAACGCCCCAGGTGGCGAGGAGCGAAGAGAAACGACAGAGACGACTGTATTTGCAGGTTAGCCATGCAACTACCTCCCACAGCCCAAAAACTATCCGAAACTCAAAAGATTCCGAAACAAAGCCCTATTCGGTTAGTGCCTCTCGTTTACGACCACAACTCTTCAGGATGTCTATATATACCAAATGCAGACCTGCCAACTCTCACGGTTCTGCCGTGAGTCTCACGATTTTTTGTCACTTTTCACGGTCTCACGACAAGGCTCCTCAATCTCACGGGTTTTGGGAAAAATCATTCTGAAATGATTTAAGTTGTTGAATCAGAATAAAAATGGGAAATTAACGAGGAATGCTTGTGCCATAAAGTGAAAAACTAATAAAGAAGAACACTGTTCTTACTTTTTTGTACCCAGCTGTGATTTTCGCTTGTGTTCAATAAACTTAATCGTTTTCCTTCGTGTCTGTCCGCCATTTTGAAAGGGGAGTAGGCCCTGGGAACGAGGTCTAATTCCCAGGCGTCTCCCATGTTGAGTTTCCCAGTAGTCTTTGTAAGTTCAGCGCGGGAAAGCGATCGCAATCGTATAAACATGGCGATGGAAAAGGGGTTTGTTTAATCTTGATCGGGAAAAAAATAGAATCTCACTATTTTTTATAGAATCTCCAGATTTTTTTTCATGGGTCTCCAGATTTTCCTTTATCAGGGGTTGGCAGGTCTGCAAATGTGCTACACAATTCACTATAATGTCTCCTCTTTACATAAGTAGATGCTTAAAACTTGTTTCCACAAGAGACTTCCCCGTGGCCCTACTCTCGTAAATGACCAGCAACTGTCATGTTCATGTCTTTGGTCTTTTGAACTATGAAGCTTACTGATCTATCTTTAGACACAAAACATGTCTTGTAACTAGCTAAACATGTTTCTAAGAGTATGGAACGTTTTTGGTGTTTGCTACGACAATGTGTTGCCATAGTAACCATTTATTTCCAGTAACAAGTAAAATGAAGTGTTTCCAGGGGCCTTTCAGCCAAAGAGGTCGTTAATGGTAACCAGTTCCTTATATATTTCCACATTAACTCAGACAAAAAGTGGAGCTACGTTTATGAAATCCACTATTAATAGACGTCTTTGAACCTTTAATCACTGCAACTGATACAGTATTCACTGTCCCCACTGACCTAACTGAATCGATAAGAAAGAAAATCACAGTATTTTACCACCTTTGCGAAATGTGCGTAGAATTTATTTGTCGACTTCACCTGTGGCAGGTGTTACAAGGCTATCGAGACCATTAAAGGACGGACCATTAGAAAACTTATGGGGCGGGGGGGGGGGGAGGCGAAGTACAAAAAAAATATTTGCGCAAGGGAAAATTAAATGAAAAAAAAATCATGTACGCCAATTAACCCTAAAAAAATATTCATACCATGTCCTAAAAAAAAAATTCATACATGGAATTGGATAACGAAAACAAATTCCTACGGCCCGAAAATTCCCCACCCCCACCATAACTTTTCTAATGGTCCGTCCCTAATGAAACCTCTTCTATATTCATTGTGTATTATATAATTATTCAATGTAAGCTAACCGTATAATTGTTATTTTGCTTACCAAGACTAAGCCTAATTAGTGCCTAATACGCTGAAAGACCAAAGGTGAGAGTTATTTCGTCGAAGCATCTTCCATTCTACAGGTGGGCTTGTAACATCCCGTCCTCCGTTTATTTCTAAGACAACAGCCTTGCTTGCTCCCTGGTATGTCCAGGTCATCGTAAGGGTTGCGCGGATGCATGCATTCGCATATATTACTATTTAATGGCCACCACAGCGTTGAACAGAGGTTAAGGTCCCATAGTTGGCCTTAAGCCATCTTATTACTGCCCTTATTGCTTGATAAAATTATTCTGATTGGCCTGCTAAACATGCGGACAGACAACAAACTCAGCAAAGACAGAACACCACTCCAAGGGTTGTTCAAAGCTTACCAAAGTTTTGCCATATGTTACATCTACCTACTGGCTACTTCTCCGGCATCACAGTTCACGATTATTGCGCTTGCTTTATAAGGGATTGCACGACCTAAAGCCTAGCTATCTTTCGAAGCCTCTCTACCCTTCGCATCCATCTTGGTCTCTTGTACTCGCCGTGACTCAGAGAAGAACAGTCCCAGCTCTTCCTTTCTTATCCTGTCGTCTTTGTCACGGTCGGCAAATCTCATGATCATTTCACGCTGCTCATTGATCGTTTTCATATCCGGTGGCTCCTGCATAGTAAAAGAAATCGAAATCGTCAAATCCCAGTTATAACCTTATGGCTGTAGCACTTTAACAAGATTTCCCCTCCCCCCCGCATTCCACTCCCCGCCTCCCCCACTCTAGGTTTTTCGACTTGTTTTCAAACTGGGCTTTTTCTGTGGGGGGGGCTTATTTTCAACTAATAATGCGGCATGCAGCTTAAACATTATTCACTTCAAGCTATGACTTTAAAAATCACAATTTATAAAATTTGTAATAGAAAACTGGTTATAAAATGAATCGTCACAAACCTATCAAATGCCAATTTTAGGGGAATCTTCTTAAAAAAACCAATGTTCACAAGGTGGTAGTATTTGGATACATACACTGTTATTCTTGATGTACAAGTCTCGTATCAGAGCATCGAGCTCCGCACCGGCAATAGTTCCATTGTGATCCTGTGCAGACAAGACAGAGATAAACATGAGACATACAATGATTTTCTAGTTGCAGTTACCCACAGCCTGGAATAGGTTTATTGTAGACCAAAAAAAACAGTCAGATAGTCACGATGAACTCAGTGAACTGCTGTCTCTAAATGGATGCCTCCCTAAAACCTGATACCTAGAGATGGCAGCACTACAGTCATTCCGCCGAGCACTGATGAAGAAAGGTCGGGGGAGGAGGGGTACTTACCAATTACATGGAAAAACCGGAAATTCCAGGTGGCAAAATCAAATGGTTCCGCCATTTCGTAATGGAAGGTTTAGAAAACATGGGTGTGATTTTAGGCAATACAATTATGTCTGTTCAGCTGATCTGGATAGAACTTTGTGGTGGGCTGTTCTCCCAGCACAACATTTCACCCCGGGTGGTTTTGTATACATGGCTCGGGATGACTGCATCATCGCCCCCAAGTTTATTACGCTCTCTTTGCAGATGATGATAATTTTGAACTGCCGTGTGACGTAAATTTGAGTGTTTTAGACCATTACTGCATTGTTTTCATTTGTTTACTTGTAACTATTTGGCACTGCTGATTTTAACATGCTGATTCACGTGTTAAACGGGACTGAGTCACGGCTGTCAAGCTTATTTTGTTAACATTGCAAAATGCCCGTCTTTTATACAGCATTGAAATACCAGAGGTGAGCTTTCGCGCCAAAACATGACATACCCAGACTTGAGAATGACATGGTATCATCACATGTAAAAGATCACCGTTGCTATGCCTTACATAATTAATCGCAATGAAATGGTTTGGCTTTTTATTGGTGTTTATATAATAATAGAACATTGCATATGCATGGCCGTTTAGAGATACCAAATTTATCTTCGAGTGTTGAAAAATATTTCACGAGAACATTCGAAAGAAGAGAAAGAGATGAGAAATTTCGTATATCCACAGCGATGTCATATCCTCTATTTATTCACACTATGAGAACTTAGTTGCCAGGGACAACACCAGAGCTTTGAGTTAAATGAATATCATTCACAAGCATGATATCACATGGTACAAGAACAAATTTAAATGAGCTTTGCACAACTGTTAGGCTAACAAGTTTTCAAAAACCATGATTTCGTACCGTTTCAAGTGTTCTTCAAGTTTTTCCATCTGTGCTTCGCTTTGTATCTGGTATGTTAATATTTATTTACAAAAATGTTGTTTGAACGTTTTGAACGGTTTGAATTATGATCGCTATTTGGACATAAACTATGCTTTTCCCTGTTGTGCCCGTTATTGTTTGTTGAGAAACAGCCATTTTGTTAAATTCAAAGCACTCAGTTTCTTTTGAATATTCGCCCGTTATCAGAAACGTATATGCACCTGCCATACAGGAAACTATACGCGAAACTTAAAATGTTTTATACTACTTTTAATATAATTTGAGTTTCTCGTTTATTCTACATACATCTCTATTTGCGTCCGTAACACGAGACCTTGCCCTTTTCTCACCTGGTCGTAGTGGTACCAAATTTTCTCAAAATCTCTTCTTGTCATTTTTCTTCGGATCTAATTAAAAGAAAACAAACAAACAAAAGCAAACAGACAAAAAACAACAACAACAACAAAAGCGAAACAAAATATGTCAGTACAAGGGTCTTGGTGCACTAAAATTAATACATCGAAAAAGCTCTGGGTTCAATTAATTTAGCTCACCTCAAATTTTGAGAGGAAATTTTCTTCTACAGGTAACAGTCTGTAAGAAACCAACAAGAAGATAGCGTGATACAACCCGGCCTTTACCCATTTATTTCACCATCCGCTGAGGTCACAGATTTTGCAATAAGAAGCCTAAGAAAGACGTTTTTCGGCGACGCAAGTCAAGCGGAAGTGAGGCCTTCTCCTTTTTTATATGCCTTGACGCCAACAAATTTGTATTACTAAGTTTCTTTTCTCTTACGATTTACCCGAGATTCTGAACCAATCCGCTGCCCGATGATGCAAAAAGTCCACTTCCGGTTGAAGTCCGTCGCTCAAGAACGCTGTTGCTTAAGCTCCCTAATATTCCCCTCTCAGGGTTTGAATCACTTAATTGTAACATGTCACGTGATCTTGGAGTAGTCAATGAGAGTGTATTTTGTTAGGGAAAACTCCTGTTGACTTTTGAAATCATCTTGTCACCCAAAAGTAATTCCTGGCAAATAGAAAGGTTCAGAAAGTAGTTCCGAACTTAGTACCATGAAAGACTGAAGATAAAAGAAAGATTGACGTACTTAGCCATTTCAGATAACTCTATTTCCCCATCACCATTTTTGTCCAACGTTTCGATCTAAGAACAAAGAGAAAGTGTTTCATTATAAACTGAAGGTCGGTGTTTACTGAAGACAAAAACCCTGCGTAAAGTAATTTGCAATTCGTCTCATATTTTCCTTAAAGCTCAAGAGATAACCAATTCTGGTTAGTTTAATCCTCAACTCATATCAGTGTTAGCTTAAACGTAAGTAATTTGATTCTGTAACAATTCGCTACTTGAACACACCTTGTTTGCTACCCAAAATTAACCATTTTAAACAATGTCTTCTAATTTTCTCTGGGCGAATGTAACACCCACGAGAAGTTAACAACGAAGGTTAAGCAAAACGTTTGGGGGCAAGCGAGGTGTATAATAGAAAATGCGTACTCGACAAAAAAATTCACTGAATGAAAACCGCTCCTTTACTGCAATTAGTTGCTCATCTATAACTGCAACTTCGTTTCCAGGGCCTGGCCCCAGGGGCCTGAAAGAAGAGACACAAGTGGGAACGAGGTTGTCGCGAAGTCTTAAAACGGGAAGGGGGATTGTCAATCAATAAAGTCATAAATGTCACATACGGGTTACAAGAAAAACAGAGGCCTTCTTAATCATGCACGTAATACTGCCACATGAGACGAACTTTAACACGTTTTACTGTATGTCTACTTAGTTGAGACGCTATTGGCTGTACTCACCGCAGCGTTGACATATTGTTCAATTCTCTGTGGACTGATACTTGGATTATTAACCGTCAACATGTCTTTGAAGAATCCCTGAAAGATACCACAAGAAAATAGAATTATTCTTTGCGTACTACTGTTGATTTCAATTGTCTTTTTGGGCAAAGATTGATAGTAGAACCCGAAGAAGATAACAGGCTTTTTGAAACTGATGTATATTAATCTTTCAGAATGCAATATTCCGCAGATTCAAACAATCAAACAAATATGCAAACTAACCCTTAGTTGTTGTCTCTCTAAATATCCCTTTTTATCAGCATCATAATGATTCCAGATCTGAAACGACAAATTTTAAGAAAGTTAGTATTTAAACTCAACCAAGTTACTTGTTGAGCTTTTATAGATCGATTGAAGGGTGAGCTATAGCAACTCCTTGGTTACTGAAGCCATCAGAAGACTAATGCCCCATTCACACCAACTAAACATGTATTAAACCTGGTTTAAAAAGGTTCTCTTGTGAAAAAAAAAAAAAAAGACACGGAAGACTGGAACGTAAACCTAGGTTTTCACACTGGATTCCATTGAAAATCAGCCAACATGTATAATTAATTTGTGCTATATTTGCAATCGACTTAAAGGGACAGTGTCCCGATTATGCGCACGCGCGAGCGTCATCTGTTTTTTCTTCAAAAGACAATAGAACTGTCAAATTGACTCTACAAGATTTCCTTCCGGACCGCACTGCCGACAGAGATTTGTTGTTTACATTCTCAAGTAATATTTTAGACTTTCGAAGAAGTCTTTCGTCTTGTATAAAAATTTGGCTCGCGGTTCGAAGACTCATCGCGATTTTATCGCTAGCTGGGCCACCTCGCGACCCGAAAATCTCGTTCCGCTCGCTTTAAAAACATATTTTCTAATTTGAAACTCGTGTCGGAGGTCAATCGCTGCAAGTCCAATAATATCTGTCTGATTTGCTCGCGTTCTAGCCTCAAACGTTTGAAAGACATAAATAAAAATGCAATCTCAACTCTACGAATCATCACAAAGGTTAATCAAAAATGATATTATGATTTCATGTCAATAGTTTTTCAAAACATGTAGCGCCTGTTTGTTTGATTTTGTCGGCCGTAGGGAGATTCATTTAAAAGTTTAGTAACGCGTCGTTGCAAAACATTCTGCTTCACGAAGCTCCCCTCCACAAGATCTCCTCAGTCACATCAATGTCTCAACGGTTTCTTTCTTACAGTCTTTATTGTTGCTGTTTCATTTCTGCGTATTCCTTTCACAATTATCTGAGCTTGTATGGAAGCTAGCAGAAGAAATAAGCCTTCAATAGGCATTAAAGTGCTTCCAATCTTTTGGTCCTCCGGCCAACGGCAACAAAAGTAACGCCAAAAAATCCAGATTTTGCCCAAATCGAAACTTAACAGGCACAATATATCATTGATCTATAATCCTGAGAAGTTTTAGTGTCGTATTGAACCCGGCCAAGAGCGATGCAAACGGATTTTTCTAGCCTGCGTGGCAGGCGCAAAAAGGGGAGGGGGAGGGGGAGGGGGGAGGGAAAAAGGGAAAAGGGAAGGGAGCGCCTGCTCTAAGAGCCTATGTTTTTGCATAACGCCTACCAATTTTCTAGTAATCCGATTACGCTTATATGGGGCGCCGTTTGTAAAAAAAATGATTTAGCTTAATTTTGTCATTTTTTTCGTTATTTATTAAATAAAGTTTTCTGATATGATATCATACGTCAATGATTTGATATAATAAATGTTGATTTCAAATCATGCGTTTATGATTTGATATAATAAATTATTATTTAAAATCATGCGTTTATGATTTGATATAATAAATTCTGATTTCAAATCATGCCTTTATGATTTGATATAATAAATATTGATTTCAAATCATAAGTTTATGATTTGATATAATAAATCCTGATTTCAAATCATTCGTTTATGATTTGATATAATAAATCCTGATTTCAAATCATAAGTTTATGATTTCATATAATAAGTTCTGATTTTAAATCATAAGTTTATGATTTGATATAATAAATCCTGATTTCAAATCATAAGTATATGATTTCATATAATAAAAATCATTATTTGATATCAGTAAAACCATGATTTAATTTAATAAGTAATAAGTAACCGCGTGACTTGGCACGTGGGTTACTAGCGCGGGAATAATCGCAAAGATGGCGACACAACCAGATCAGCTATCGAGGTCAATCGCTTCTAGGGTCTCTAGAGCCGTAGAAAGGGCGGTTGACCAAGCTTTGGCATCCCTTCCGAGCCTTCCTGGCAATTCAGGTTTTGCTGCTGCGACACAAGAGGTATGTAACATTGATGTATCCGGGGGGGTACTCCCATACATTACCTGTACGGGTATATGTGCCGCCCAACGGGGTCGTGATTTTGAAACTCCTGATTTAGAACGGGGTATCCATTTCAGAGGCGTTTTCTAGAACGGGGTATAAAAAAATTGTGGATCATGGCTTTATCTTCTGCTTAAAATTGTTGCTGATTATGAAGAAGCATCTATTTGATGTATAAGTCGAACAAATAAAGAAATATCTTTTAAAAAAACAGGGCTATTTCAATTTACGAACTTTCTAGAACGGAGTATAAAAAATCGGCCCATTTCTAGAACGGGGTATCAGTTTTAAGGCGAATTCTAGAACGGGATATAAAAAAATTGGCCCATATCTAGAACGGGGTATCAATTTTAGGGGATATTTTTTTTAGAACGGGGTACCTATTTGGAGTCCCGGGCGGCACATACCCCTCCCTCCCCCTTTTTGATTAACAAAAAAATCATTATTGATGTCTTCCAAGCGCCTCATCTATTTCTTACATGTTGCACTGCATCATTAGTTAAGGGGATTGCGTGTTAATCGGAAAGCTATGACTATATTTACGAGGGAAAGAGGACTTTTGGACCTTTCGCTTGTCTGGCGCATTGCGTGACACGCGCGGCTTAGTTTTAGATGTGTTTGCTTCCTTTGTTATGTCCTTTTAGTAGCCATACTAAAATAACATACAGCTAATGATTGTTTCTATTTCACAAAGTGAGGCGACAAGACAGTTCGTCAGGGAACAAGAGATCGAGACAAACAAAGGGCTATTTACACCTCAACACCGGGAGGAGAAATTATTAGTTAGTGACATCGATCCAAGCGTCCTTGGCGAACAAAAATCATTGTACAGGCGTAACATTGAGACTCTGGTTTGGCGACAAATCGCAGTAGCATATATATGTTCGGAGGGATGCCAAAGCTTGGTCAACCGCCCTTTCTACGGCTCTAGAGACCCTAGAAGCGATTGACCTCGATAGCTGATCTGGTTGTGTCGCCATCTTTGCGATTATTCCCGCGCTAGTAACCCACGTGCCAAGTCACGCGGTTACTTATTACTTATTAAATTAAATCATGGTTTTACTGATATCAAATAATGATTTTTATTATATGAAATCATATACTTATGATTTGAAATCAGGATTTATTATATCAAATCATAAACTTATGATTTAAAATCAGAACTTATTATATGAAATCATAACCTTATGATTTGAAATCAGGATTTATTATATCAAATCATAAACGAATGATTTGAAATCAGGATTTATTATATCAAATCATAAACTTATGATTTGAAATCAATATTTATTATATCAAATCATAAAGGCATGATTTGAAATCAGAATTTATTATATCAAATCATAAACGCATGATTTTAAATGATAATTTATTATATCAAATCATAAACGCATGATTTGAAATCAACATTTATTATATCAAATCATTGACGTATGATATCATATCAGAAAACTTTATTTAATAAATAACGAAAAAAATGACAAAATTAAGCTAAATCATTTTTTTTACAAACGGCGCCCCATACGCTTACTGTCAATCAAGTGTCGCTACACTCGCCATTGCAGAAAACATTACACTCACGGACTAAAGAAATTCGCTTAGTTATTCAGATCCAGAAGGCACTTTGGAGAAAACTGGAACCCTTATTCAGCCGTAATAAAAAAAGCTTTACGCTTCAAAAGAGGTCAAAGAAATTGCGCTTGCATCAGAGGGCAAATCCCGCCGACCAGAAAACAATAACTACAGTCAATCGATATGTATGTCATGACCTCTCAGTGTGAAACATGCGGCTAAAATAACATTTTCTCAGTATAAATGCAGAACCTTCCAGAACATAATCTACCCAGCAGATAAAAACAACTTTATTGGAATAAGCAGCACTTTGGCATGAGGTAAAACCACCCTCTTTTATTCCTAAGTTACATCGGCGAATGTCATCGTTCGATAAATTGGCTAAATCTTTCCCTAGGTAGCCCAACAATTCCATCTCCTGCAACTGGTCTTCGATAATACTCTTCAGTGGCGAAATGACGAGAATCGCCGCACTACCATTTAGCTCGTAGTTCTTCGCGCATACAAACATTTGGTAAATTAAACTCTTGCTGTATCCGGTCCGCAAAACCGCCAGAACATCTCTGTCGGCTAAAAGAGCCCTTACTGCTGATTCTTGCTCTGGTTTTAAAACAGTTTCTCTACCACTAGATAAATTCAGATCTCTCAAAGCACTCTCTACGACATCCACGTCTACCGCTGCCATCTCGACTGTTTGTTGATTTGTGAAACGCGCATTTCAATATGTTACTCATTACGGCTCAGCCAATCAGGAATTTGCGGACGCCAGCGTCCGCAGATATGAACAAAAGGGGGTTCTTAGAGCAGGCGTCCCCTCCCCCTCTCCCCAATCCCTCTCCCCTTTTTCCCTTCCTCCCTATCCCCTACCCCATACCCCTTTCGACGCCTGCTACGCAGGCTAGATTTTTCAAGATTCTCTTACTCTCCTCGCATCTTTTGATTTCGCGACATCCTGTCCAAAAATCAAAGTTTGGTGCATGCGCAGTAACGGGATACTGTTCCTTTAAGTCAGTTAGCTGCATTTAGGAAGGAAACGATTTTTAACCGTATTGAGCTTTGGTTTAAATGGGGCTAAAGGTTTAGACTATTCCTTGTGATTCCCTGGAAGGCATTGTACTAAGTATTTCATAATCCCTCTGTTAAGATCTCTTCTTACATAGTACCTCCTAGTGAAAGTTGCAGCAATGTTTGTTGGGAAATCGAAATTCAGTTTGTTCAAAGGTTCCTCCACGTGGATGGCGGAAGGAATCAGCCTTGTTATGAAGTTCAACTTGGATTGGTTTGAAAACATTTACCGGTATTTACTTATTAACGTTCACGTACCTTCATAAAATCGACGCTGGTGAGCTTAGCGTTTCTTTGGAACTGAAGAAGGAAATTTTCCTCGGTTGGTAGGATCTGCGCTACCTATACAAACAATGATCGAAAGGATAACTTTAAAACTCCTTCATGAAATATACAGCTCCTGAAATAAATAAATGATACGATTTAGAAATACAAAAGGTAAGGTACATTACGTGCGTCAAATGAAATAGAAGCCTTGGAATTGTCCTGTACGTAACACGGTCTAGGAGTTATTGGTATAGGGAGGGAGGGGGGAGGAAGGTGGGGGAGTGGAGATGGTGATGGAGGATGGTGTATATTAGCGTATAAACTATTAAGTATTTCTGGCACCAGCGATTTTGGTTTTGGCCTCTTTTAGTCTGGACACACAAAGGGTTAAAACAGCGCGTTTTCGTCTGAAATTGGGTAATGATTTCTGCCGTCTGCTTTCTTACTCTGTTCCAGGCTCTCAGATGGTAGGAAAAGGCACGTGTTCCCGCTTTCTCAATCCCTGACTATCTCGGAGCCTGGAACAGGCTATGCATTCTCGACTGATTAGCCTTATTCGTAGCCACTAGAGCAGGAGTCGATGAGCAATGGGGACGGGGGCCGTTGCGTGACTTCGATCCGAGCTACTGCGAGCAGAGAAGGAGACTGGGGAGCAAGGGAAAGCGTAATGATGAGAGCAATAGCCTCCCACCAACGTGGCCCGGGTTCAAATTCCAGTGTTGACATCATATGTGGATTGAGTTTGTTGTTGGCTCATACTACAATTCGACCAAGAATGGTAGATGAAGAAACACTATGTGGATGTGCTGCTGACGAAGTCTGTACAAATTTCACAGATGTACCTACCTTCGTCTCCTGGTTGTTGTTTCTCTTTTTACTCTTATCTCTTTACTTTTCTGTATTGAAATTCTACTTAAAAAAACTGCATTCACATACCTCATTAATTTCAAGACGGCCGTCAAAGTTTTTGTCGTATCTTTCTAAAATAAGTTCTCTTATCTCCTTGACCTTGTCACGCGCCACACCCTATCAAAGTAAAGAGAATTGATAAGTAGAGTGTCAATCGTAAAACAATAAGTTTATTCGGCCACTCAAGTCCGCACCACTATTAAAGACCCGTTTAAATAGCGGGAAGGGTCCCAACCGACTCGGAGAACTAACTAACCTGTATTTATGGAGGCCGCTGAAATTCTGCGCGAGAAAAAAAAAATGTTTTGACGTTTTGGCGGGTTTTTCCTCGGCCGGTGATTTACTTGGTTTTGCTCTGGGAAGACCGACAATCTCATCAACAAAGAAAAAAGAATGGAAATATAGAAAACAACACAACGATCGCGCTTTTATTTTATTTTATTTCTGCTACTCTGACTATTTCATCAAAAATCCAAATATGGGTTCGATATTCCAACGCCCTAAGCGATCCGTGCGTGGTGATAATCCTGGCAATTTTGGGTCTAATCTCAGGAAGTGAAAAAAAAAATGAATAAAAATAACAATTACACAATACAGTGGCATTGTTCCATCCTCAGATTAATATTTAGCCCTAAGTAGTCCGTGAACGATTTTTGGACGAGGTTGCGTCAGTGAGTACGATATGAAGACTTGAGTCAGACATCCAGCAGATCTTGCAGGTAATTCATTAAACATTTCATGACTGGTCCCGAGGGAAACAGTTAATTTTGTTCCCTGAGAATCTCAATGTTTCCCTTGTTGAATCCGAGGGTAACATTGAGATTCGAGTGACTTGTTATTTAGCTGGAAATTTTGAAGCTGGAGATTCATTAAAACTCGCTGTAACAGCGGTCGTCGGTCAACATTTGCTGGTAACAGTGCACTGTTACCCTATGAGGACATAGATTTTATGCAATGTTGCCCGTTCAGAGATTTTGGCGGGAAACGCTTTCATCGTTAGATGTCATGTGACCATCTCAAAATAACCATGAACCAATGACAGCGCGCGCTGTTGGGAAGAAATTTCCAGCTATATGACAAATAGCAGTTGTCATCCGTTGAGTCAGGCCGTTGAGTGGTATTTCATTGTGTATTATTGCTGGTTACGCGAAATCGTCCGCAATTTCCTCTCCAACAAAATAGCTGAGGCACCGCGCCGCTTCTTTGCTTGACATCTTTGTTGCCTGCACGGCCTGGGGCTCCTTTTAATTTTCACAACAAAACACGTTCCAAATTTGATCAACAGTCGCTATTAAACTGGCTATGAATAACCAGGATTCGGCTCCTGGAATAATACATTAGCCATGGGATGAAAGCCAACACGACAAGGACAAATATTACGAAGGTCATGATGTTTATCAGGCTCCCGCCCTTGAGTTATTCTTCAGACATTTTTTTCACATTTTCAAATTCTTTTTTGCTACGAACTTTTAGTTTTATTTCCATTTTTTTAGCCCTGAAGAAGGTTTGTTTTCAAAACGAAATATTGGGCAATTTGTTTAAATATATTTTTTTGTTTACTTCTTCGTCGCCTTGCCTTAAGGATCAGTTTGCCGTTTCATATTTTTCTACAAGTTTAATTGTACTGATCCAGGTCTACAACGGGGAGATCCGGCACTACTCGTTGGTTTGTTGCTGTGGACTTGCTGATATTTTATATATTTTGCGTGATAATGTCATATAAGCTTACAATAACCCATAAAACTCCCCTGAGAACTATTTTGCATTCAGGTCTTCCATTGCTAATGCTTTAGCGATCTACTTAAATCAGGATGCAAAAAACAACAACAACAAAACGACCTGCTTATTTGCGTATAAAAACTTACACGGTATTTGGCCTTGAACAGTTCCAGCAGAAAAGGATCAAGTTCCCTCGCTTCTAAGTAACCATTACCTTGAAAAGAGTAAATATTGTCAGCGCTATTTCATATTCTAGTTACTAATTAAATTAAAGACTAAAATACATCAAAAAAATAATAAATGTATAAAAACCTATTTAGCGCGCAGCTGCCGCGGCAGTACTCCCTTTTTTACATTATTATTGAAGTGCTTCGTCACACGTTCCTGAATTATCAAAATGTGTATACTCTAAGAGCAAACGGCTTTTAAAATCATAATGAAACAAAACTTTGAGGTTTAAAATGTAGGTCCTCCAAGTGTTCAATTCTATTTTTTTCGTGTTTTCAGTTTTTTTTTCAGGCTTCACTGGGGGCCTTCCGATCCGGCACTCTCTTGAGGAAAAAAAGTGAGGTTTAAAATCATTCGCTCACATCATTAGCAGTAGGAGACATTGTAAACTGGAATTGTAAATTCTGTTCGTCGTTTTGATCCTTGTAAAATTCAACGAAAGAATTATTCTACAGCACTAAGAAGAAATTAATTCATGCAGAAATAAAAACGTTTCCTGACTGCGTGAGAAGATCTGCAGTATAAATGAATAATTTCCTCTTATTCGACGTTATTCGACTTATTCGCCTGCAGCTGCTTGATTAACGCTTGATATATGCAAAGTTTGAAGCCAAACAAAGAACAACTCACCATCTTTGTCGTATTTCCTGAAAATGGCCATAAATTCAGTCGATGTGAGCTTAGTTTTGCCGTGAAATTTGGTTACGAAAGGCTTCATTCCGCGTGAGGAAGCCATGAGTGTCGAGTACTGTTCCTGCGTGGTACGAGACAACAGATTAGGGGTCGTGTAAATATGATACACGCGTCCACTGGGAAAGTTGACTTTTTGCGTCCCTGTATTCGAATATTAGACAATGATTAGAGCGGTAATCCACGATAGACATCAGCAGGTTTACAGTTCATTTTCGCTGGATACGTGTGTTTCATGGTGGCCGGAAACATATGTCGTATGGCCATCACTCAAGAGCTCGATCATAAAAACAATGAAATTGATAAGGAACGGACCATTAGAAAAGTTATGGGAGTGGGGAATTTTCGACCCGCAGGAATTTTTTTTCGTTATCAAATTCCTCGTATGAATTCTTTTTAGGCCATAGCATGAATATTTTTTTAGGGTTAATTGGCGTGCATGAATTTTTTTTTCATTTAATTTTCTCTTGTGCGAATATATCTTTTTTAATACTTCGCCCCCCCCGCCCCATACGTTTTCTCATGGACCGTCCGTAAGAAGTATCTGTGACCCCTTTCTAGGCTGCCATTTTAGTGTCGTGTGACACCCTATTAAAAAATCCAAGATGACGTTGAAAAAGAACACGTGCGCGAAAGAAGAATTGGCAGTACAGAAAGTGAAAGATTATGAGCTACATTCTCCTAAGTCAATAGGAAAATTTTGTTTCTGTGAATTTATTAGTCTCCTTAGCGGCTGTTCTATGCTTCGTCACGCAACGCTCCTACCCTCCTTTGTGGGGAGGGGAGGAGCGTTGCTTGACGACGAATGATTATTGACATTATTGGCTGGGAGATAGGAGAAGCTCCGCGCGCGAGACAGGAAGGCACACACGAGGACAAGGGACGCGCCCGTTCACAGACGGCCCAAACTCATTACATGAACGCGGACGTGACTCTTGCTTGCGAGCGGTGTTATGTTACAAACGGTTATTTACAAAGGCTTGTATGGGATCGATCGGTTTTTCTTAAAAGAGATAAAAAATGTTATGTTTTTAAATAAAATCGACGTACCTTTAATATTGCCTTGTTGTATTCTTTGTTGTTTGCCCGCGTCTCAGGCCGTTTTGAAGCGTTTTCGGCGAGTTAGCGCTATTCAAAACGGCCTGAGACGCGGGCAAACAACAAAGAATACAACAAGGCAATAAGGTACGTCGATTTTATTTAAAAACATAACATTTTTTATCTCTTTTAAGAAAAACCGATCGATCCCATACAAGCCTTTGTAAATAACCGTTTGTAACACAACACCGCTCGCAAGCAAGAGTCACGTCCGCGTTCATGTGATGAGTTTGGGCCGCCTGTGGCCCATTAAGTAGCCTGCGTGGCATGGCGGTTTTGGTTGGGCGAACTAAGTAATAAAGGCGGGCGAGGGCAGAGAAACCGCGAGGAGATTGGGGCGGGAGCAACTTGAAAAGTTAGCTAGTTTTTATTTTTCTCGCGGCTTCGCCGCTCGTTCTCGCGCGGTTCGCGCGCGAATTTTTTGTGGCTACGCCGCTCCTGCGCCCGGCTCGACAAAACCGCCATGCTACGCAGGCTACCCATTAAGCTGTTCAGCAACAAGAGGGTCTGTCTCAATGGGGTGGTAGCTTTGACGGTTGACGGTTAATTTTTTTTCCAATTTTGACGGTTGATGGTTATGGTTAGAGCTTTTGACGGTTGACTAAGCGGACACGGTTAATTTTTTCTCAATATTGACGGGTGATGGTTATTGGTTGGAGCATTTGACGGTTGACTATAAAAGCGGACATTTAGTCCAAGAGTTAGATTTAAAATTAACGTCGGTATAAATTAATATTAACTGTTGTGTTTTGGAGGTTTTCTTGGCCTCTCTCTAAAAATATTTTGAAAGATTTTTGAATGGGCAAGTTCTAAGGTTTCGTAATGTCTAGAGAGAGCGTTTTTGAGAACATCGGAAATGGTTTTTTCCAATTTGGAGATTCTTCAAGAGCCTAAGTCCAAAGATAAGCTGAAATTGGGAGATTTAAAATACCTTGAAACTCTTTGACGGTTAATCTGCATTTTTGACGGTTGACGGATAAAGTTTAGGCCGTTCGACGGCTGACGGTTAACCTCTTTGAGAGCCTCCAACAAGTCTCCAAAATGTAGATGCCGTTTCATCTGAACTCTGAACAATATGTCATTCATGCCTCTTCCTACCCTCCGAGCAGAGGCCCCTCGATCTTCCTAGATAAAAGATCGAAGGGTCTCTGCTCGCAGGGTAGCCTCTTCCAACAGCTCCTTGTGCAGCTCTTCTCTTTGCTATTATAGACCTGTATAGCCTGCGCTGCGGGAAATGAAAGCCGCGGTGGCCCGTAAGGAACATTGCATAGTTTTTTTTTTTTTGCTTAAGTTATCGCTCGATAATTCAAACTTATCGCGCGATAAATGAGAAAATTTAAAAATTATCGCGCGATAATTAGTCAGTTTATCGCGCGATAAATTGCAACTTTTCACATGATAAAGAGAAGCTAGAAAGTTGCACGTGGAGAGATATAGTAGAGACAACACAAAATGTTATACCCTAGTAGGAATGTAAAATACAAAAACAGAACAAAACTTTAATCCTGCATTAACGCTACTCGGCCTTTTAGGAACCGGGCCCTGGTGGATATATATTATTTGCTCATTTCGTTGGATGAGTTTGGACCCCGGTGGTCCTCCTTATCAGGTGGATATTTTAAGGTTTTCCAAATTACTCTTTGCCTCGTCTGGTGAGCAAAATTAAGATTATATATCATGAAGTTCATTCGTATCAATCTTGCGAAATGCCTCTCAGATTGTGCAATCAAATAAGGAGAATAAATCATCTGCTCGTGTCCCACAGTGAAAACAATCCCTTGCTTGGAAATCTAGCTTGGCAACTCAAATGAACCCTATTAAGCTGGCTTAAAAG